CTGGTTAACAAATGGTCCTTCCCTTCCTCTCCTCATCTCCTCTCCTCTGTGCTTCTGTTCTCTCCTTAATCCTCATCTCCTCTTTACTCCCACCTTCAATCCAGCTCAGTTTGAAGCTACTAACGGTGTTGAAACATTTGCTGAGTAATAATCTCAGTCAAAGAGCTTCAATTCAGACTCTTTGTTGCCTCGTGTCATACCTGTCACCTTCAAACAGGACACAGCAGGATGTGTGTGTTGCCTGGATTAACACGCCGCTCTGTGACGCTTCTGTTTCAGGACACCAGAGTTGCTTCCCGTGCTTGTGTGGTGGGACTGGAGTTGGCTTTGGCGCCTGAAAGTGACAAAATCTCCACAGCTCACTGGAGCTGAGAGTTCACAGGAAGTGTCAGATGAAGGGTTGAACTCTTGACTGATGCCTGTGAGGAAATTTGTGACAGATTTTACACAAAAAAAGTTAGAGAATGCAGGGAGAGTGTAGGAGAAAGGCCACCTGTTTCAGTCTTTGACACTGAAATCTAAGACTGTTGTCAGGAAAACAATGAATAAGAGATACAGTTTGACTGATGCTTATCTGCTTCTGTTTTTGATTCAAAAGAAGGTCTTATGAACATAAAAAGCTGGTTGTATTTCTAATAAAAGCATTTATCTTGATGGCTGTAATGGCTGACACTGTGCACACACTAGACGAGGTGTTCGTCTGTCTTTTGGATTCCATCCATCCATCCATCCACCCACCTACCCTTCTTCTACCCTTTATCTAGAGTTGGGTTGCAGGGGGAGCAGCCTAATAGAGGAAGCTCAGCCTCCACTTACATCAATTATACATTTTTAATAGGTTTTTAAAAGCATCACTGTTGATTTAAGTCAGTTTTAGGACCAGAGAAACCCACTCAACAGGAGCTTCAATTAGAACTCATGTTTGTGAAATAAGATGCACAGATTAAAGGCACTAAAAAGGTTTTTATCTCATTTTGAAACAGTTTCTTCTCACATACAGATCCCTTTTCCTAAAACTACGAACTGAATCACCAGCCACAAAATATCTTATTTCTGTACTGGTGTTTTCTTCTTGTGTTTCATGCTTGTTTTAAGCCACCTTGTAGGCTCAATCTTTCAATATTTTTCATCAAACTTCTTATCTTTTTACAAAATGATCTATTTTAAATAAATTTTAAACCAGTAAAACCACCAGTTTTGTCGTTAGCAGCTTTGTTTATTCTATGAGATGGAGCTAATGTCTTGTAGCTAACCGGCTAATGAGGTATTGGTTTCTAAAAGCTACATGAACACAACAAAAGAACAGATAACAGGTCTGTTATTTTGTCATGAAAGACAGAGGGAAGGAAATCCTCTGGAGAGAAAATCCAAGTGCAAGAGGAGTTAAATCTGACAAAATGACAGTGAGAATGGGAAATAGAGGGATAGGATTATCCTAAGTGAAATGGCATCAGAACAAAAGTTACAGTCCAGTGTCATTAGGAGCTCAGACACAGACAAAGGCCTTAAACACCTTAGCTGTCTGCTGACATGGGGGTGTGAGAGTCCTGACATTAAGAGGTGAGCAAACCACTCAGGGGAGATTAAATCCACTCACCTCCACAGAGTCATCCAGATGTGAGAAGAAGGCAAGAGAAGAGGAGCTCTTGAAGCCGCCCTCCTGTCAGATCCTTATTTGCTCTTCGCTTATTTCCGTTTGACTAAAAACAGTCACACATGGTCCACCTGGTTTACAAGAGGACAGAGTCCAGACTGGCAGTGAAAGTCGATTCCATTTTCACACTCAAACTGTGTGACAGATAGGTGAGAAGAGGCCCAGCAGACAGATGCTGAAGTCGGTGGACAACAGATGACGTCACTTTTTGTTGTTTTGGGAAGTGGAACTTTTTATGACAGGGAGACCGAAAAGTGCAGTGGGTTGTCTTGTAGTCCGATTATAACCCACAGCATAGATGAGTGTATGAAGTTTGGGGCATCTCTGTCCTTATTTACACAGCAAGTCTTTTGTGAAATGTGTTAATTGCTGTTTCAGTTTGTGTTATACTAAAGACATTTTAGTATACTGCCTGTCATTTGACAATTTAAACCCCTGATCCACTTTACAAAGGGTATTATGATACAAAGCTGCCTGACTTTTTCAGTAGCTGCGTTTTACACTCAATATTTTCCTCAATACGATTGGAAATAATCCTATTGAGAGAATCGGATGCAACCTGGATACATGAACTTAAATAAAGCAATCCACGTGTTTACATGGGCCCGGCTGAATCCGATTGATTAGCTCCTACGACATACGCAAAAACCCCCTCTACCTTCAAATGTGTGAGTGAAGAAGAGGTGCTCTTCCGTTTCTGAGTTCTTGTTTACATCTGGAAAATAGATCTGTGTCATGTTTTGTCATGTTGTATCTTTTATTTTTTTTATTTTATCGTTTTGTTATGTTTTGGTCATAACTTCTGGGTTTTCTATTTCCTGTGTGCGTCATTATGTCATTACATGACCATACGTACTTGGGTGCTTGTGCAGATCGAATAATCCAGTCTATTAACCAAATACGATCCAGTCAGCTGTTTGGCATCAATCAAATTGTCAAGCATCGTAGATTGTCTCCTACAGTCGGAACTTAAATTTGATACGATCTGAATGAATCGGATCTGCTAAGGTGTTTACATGACACATTTTTAATCTGACTGAGCATTTGATAGGATTGTAAGTAGAACTTTATGACTAATGTAAACACAGCTACTGATGACCATGTTTGCTTTAAAGATCACAGAGATTTTCTTATCACTTCAAGGCACCTTCTGTGCAATAAAAAGTGTTTTTATGACATAATTAAAACATCTCAAATAGACCCAGCTGTAAAAATCTAAGTCAGCGAGCTGTCATTTCAGATTTTTAGTTCATGATTAAACTGACCATGAAAAATCACAATAAATGCTTAATCATGTTTTATAGATTAAAATTTAAAACCTATAGATTTAAGCTAGTTCATTGGCAGTTTGCTGCTGCTGCTTCTTTTTCCAGAGTAAAGGACCTCAGCTATGAACTCACAGAATATTTGTGAGCTTCATTTTGAATCATGAAATTAATGTTTAATATTTTGATAAAAATGGCAATATCGGTATATTTCCACAGCCCTACTTCCAGTTTCATGTCTCAGAGCTGAAAATATTCATGGCTAAAACGTAATAACTGCAACAGATGGAGAGACGATTGCATTCCCAAGCAGTTGGAGAGAGAAAGACAGCAGATGCTTTCAACTTTTTTAATATGCTCATTCGGTCATTTGGAGGTATGGTAGCCCAGTCAGGACAAAGAGCCAAGGCCAAATATGTTGGCTTTGAAGGGGTAACAGCTGGGAGGAACTGACCAGGAAGTCGCTCCACTTCATTAAAGACTCAGCAGGAGACCAGAGGGGCTTTTCTAGCTCTCCTCCCACTCTCTCCATCACTGCACTCCTCCCTCCTGTCTGTCAGTACATCAATAATACATGCCCTCTCTCTGCCGTGAGCATTAGCTGAAAACGTAAAGAGAGCTACATGACAGCAAGAAGCATGTTTTTGGTTAATTTAATGGTAAATCATTCAGAGATATAACAAAGAAACATATTTCATTACAGAGCATCTAGTCTTTCATGAATGTCACATTTGTGAACTTGAAATTCCATTGACCTCCATTGTCCTACGATGGCGCTGTTAGAGATCTTTAATCATTTTTGTACAGGACCCTTTTTTTAATGTTGGATACTTTTATTTTATTTTCAAATATGTTAACATTTACACATAAATGAAAGACAAGTGCAACGATTTACAGTATTAAACCAGGGTTGCCCGATTGAGGGACCCTAGCTGATGCAGGAAATCCTACAAAAAAGTCTTGTTTTTTAGAAGGTTTGAAATAGATGTTGCTGAATGAAAAAGGGATATTGTGTAAATTTGTGAATCAACATGACGTAGTGAAGTGGTGGTTGTGATCAAAGTTTTTGAGTGCATGTCTTCAGTCTTCATCTGGCCCTGATTTTTACAGCTGAAACTCACTGTGAGAAGTTTTTAACAGGTTAAATACTGGAGGTAGAGAGGTTAGGTGAAGATGATCAACATCTTTTTGAAATGCAAATTTTTCCTACAGTACGATGGTGATATCAAATTGATCATATATCTGTGTACAATAACTAAGTCCATCAGCTGATCACCATTATTATGATCTCTAAGCTTTACCTCCATCCTCAGTGTAGAGTCAGATTTCAAACATACATGTTTTTGTTGTGTATTTCGTATTCTCAGCTAAAGCTCTGTGATCTCTAAGCTCTTCTGATCTGATCCTCCTACAGTGTGAAAGTGTTCAGTTCTCCAGCAGCAGCTCTAATCTCCTCCACAGCAGATCCCTGCAGCTCTGCTGTCCGAGTGGCTGCACCGGGATGTAAACTTCTACATATTGAGAGTTTTTCTGTGTGATGGATCTTGCTTTTTTATAATCACTAAAAATGCAGTTCACTCCTCCCCTCCTTCAAATACAGCCTTGTTTCTTTGAAATTACATCAAGATGTTTTCGACACTTATCAGCGAGTTGGTGTGGACAGGTCCAAAAACAAACACTGACCCACGCACACTCATGTCATGGCCTTTAGCATCACCGGCCTCATCAGTAATAGTCGCTCACTTCATGATTTGCTCGTTCTGTGAGTGACGGACAGATCCCCCCTCAGCTCCACAATAGAAAACACCTGTTAGAATCTGCTTAATCCTAGCCAGCGGTCCCAGCTCTTGGAGCTCTTTGGGGCCCCATCTAATCCGCACAAGGGCACCAGGCCAAGGCCAGGACAGATTAGACCCCCAAAATCCATCTATCCATCCATGCACACACACCTCTGAGTCTGCCCCCTATAACGAGTGTTTGAATCGGCCCCTTAATCCTTGGACTCGGAGGAGCCCTCTGCTCGGCGCACAGCCTCCTTCCCCCTTAGCCAAAACCTAATCTCCATGCATCCCCTTCATACCCACTCGCACACTTGTCCAGTGCAGCCCAGAACTCACTTACACCCCCCACCCCAAACACCAGCACCTCCCCCGGTGGAGCTGAAAGCCCATTGATTTGTTGATTTCTCCTTTTGTCTGCGGCTGGCCGAGTGTTAACGGGACATCCAGGATCCAGGGCCGAGTGCCAGGACTTTTGGCATGGGAGATTAAGGTCCTGATCTGGGCATCTGTCACTGCCCAGTCCTCCTTGTGCCTCTGAGCCTCTCCTTTAGTCATTTTTAGTTACTGTTTAAGGTGTGGATTCAATTTCAACAGGATTGGGGAACTTTCAAGTTTGCCGGAGGCTTTTCTGTGCAAAATAATAACCTCATCCTGAGAGTTTGACATGAGACTGAAATACGTACAAGCAACACTAAACTGAAGTACACATCGCTGTTTATTCCGAAGAGTAGATATTTTAACTACAACCAGATTTACACAATCGATTCTGCACATTTTGAACAGCATTTTGATTTTTTAGAAATCTTCAAGAAAACATTTCCTTGCTGATGTCCCATAATTTATGAAAACACTGCAGGGTTAAAAATATTAAAAAATGGAATAACAAATAACCTCAGTATTGTATTATTTTGGTATCTAAGTTGACATCAACTTTACGCAGTATACTTGACCGTTTCCATGGCAACAGTACCATATGTACAGTCATATCATGACATGTGGGGATTTGTTTTAAAATCTACCTCCTATGAAAAGTCTCCTCATGAACAGCACACATCCATCAAATACCTTCCATGAGTAGTCATGAGTTTATACAAACTTTGTCTCCCCCCAGTGGTGTAAAGTTTGAGTGCAAGCTTAAGGTTTTTCACCTGGTCAGAATGGTCAAAGGTCACTTTTGTATTTGACTATGAGGTACAAATTGATCTTTGAGTCACATAAATAACACCATGAACACATTAACAAGAAACCCAAACAAACAACACTGTTGATCTCTACGTTTCAGAGGTTAATTTTTAATTTCAGGCACTTATTGGCTTTTATTATTATTATTGTTTGTTTGCTTTACTAAGCTGCTGGGTTTCATATAACTGCAGCATTGTTTCTTAATCACAACCCTTTTTGGCTGTTGAGTTTTTAGCAGCACAAGAAACATCACCTGTAGAAAGTGCAGATATACAAACACTGTTGGCACCACCTGGTGGTTAAATGCCAGTAACTCTTTTGCTGTTTGTCATAAAGATGAAGCGAAAAAATCAGCAATACAATAAGTGTCCATTTAATAAGAAAACACTGAACTTAAGACACAGCTGGCACACAGCACAAATAACATATCTGAGTGGAAAAAAAAGATTTATCTGCTTTTATTGAATAAAAAGGGAATTTTTGGAGTCCCCTACAGTAAACAGAATATAAACTCATTCATAGCCAATTAAAAAGCTTATAAAAATCATGTGCGTATTTGCTTTCAGAGGTACAGCGTACAAACTAGGATTTGGAGGTTGTATCTTCCAACTAAAAAATATTTAAAATATATATTTTTATTTTGAAGGGGTCCCATAAAAATAGAAAAAATATTAAATAGTACAATTTTTATCTGATGAAACTTTGTAAAATGTAATTTTTCATTAAAGTTTTAATAATTTATAACTATTTAAAATACTAAAAAAGTGTTGGTATAATTAAGAAATATGATTGCCATCACATGAAATGAGTACTAACAGAGCTTAATGTCCTGATACACATATGAGTCCGAGGTCTTGACTGAAGTCACTAATTGGAGATGATTTTGTCACATGGCAGCAGCTCGCTCACTCCGATCTTCTGCGCACATTCGTTCTGCAGTGATCAAAAGCAAAGTGGAGTCAAAGGTTATGTCCTTAATGCAAAAGTAAAACATTTAGAGAGGTGTAAATATTTGCTTTGCTATTGAGGTTTGTGAGGAAGATTGAATGTGCTCAAATTTCACACTATTAAAAAAAAGTACAGTTAGGTGTAAAAGCAGAAAATTGGTCCATATAGCTATAGAGTTTAATCAACTATTTTGACATGTTTCACTTGATAATCGATCTCTTACCATGTAGTTGACGACATTAATGTGGTAGGGGATACCGCCCATGTCGTCACACTTCTTCATGTTCATCCTCTCTGGATCTCCAGCCGCCAGAACAGGACAGTGAGGGTCCGCCTGTAGAGACAAGCAGCATTCACTACACCAAGCTCAGTGACAGAACCGAACTTTAAGTGTCTGTTTCATATCATCATCATCATCAGCAGCAGCAGCAGCACTCACTGGATCCATCCCTCTGTGGATGCCAAGCAATTCTGTCATCCTGCCATTGAACCCCGGAGCAAAGTTTTCTGGGTTGATTGCCACAAAACACTGACCCTGTAAATACAAAGTGAGTGATGTCAACGTGGTGAACTGATCCAAACAAACAGTGAACGGAACGAGAGACACAACATGTGCTATCACACTCTACGTCAGCTTAGTTGATTGTGCTTATCTCTTAGATAAGCGTGGCTGTCAAACACTCTGCTTCTAAAACCCATTCACCTGTCAGGTTCCGTCACTGGTTTTGACTAAAAACCAGCCCGTTTCTGACATCATAGTCCTCAATGTAATTTCAAGAACTCTCTTCTCAATGTAATCAAATTAAGTGTCTCATTTCTGTTGTCAATTTGAAACTCAGTGCTCTGCCCAGTTTGACAATAGGAATCTGATGTACGCATCTCTTAATATGAAAACGACATTAAAATTATCTGGAAGAAGACATTTTTTTCTTGCTTGAATATTCTGGAAACAATAAACTACAAAGCAAGAAGGGTACAGTTAAACGGGTATAGTGGAAATGAAACAGAGAGAATTTCACAGTCAGGCCTCTTTTTGACCTTTAAAAGCAAACAAGACCATTGACATAACGGTTTAGAATTTTTAGGTGTCAAACCAGTTTATATCTACACTCTTGAATCCACACTCTGGCATACAGGTTCACATAATCCCGTACCTGCCCAGGAACCTTCGTACATAACTTGGCTTGTATCTCTTCAAAAATGTAACTACATTGAAACAATGCAGACAGCAAGCCCTGTGTTTAGTCCACCATCAAAGAGCTGCATTTAGATCCAGATTTGGGTTCAGCAGATTCTTTCCGCCAGTTTTATGTAGATATCTGTTGATCTGAATGTGTAGGCTTTACATACCTTTCTTACATGTATTTTATATTATAGAAAATTTGAGCTTGTGTCTCAATGTACATGTACAAGATGTACAATAGAACAAGAGGCATTTTTATTGTAAATATGGGTTAGTTTTCCCCCTATATAACACAATTTAAAACGGAAGTTGAAGGCAAAAAAAACCAAAAACATACCAGGTCAGCAACACGGTCTGTTACTTTCCACGTGCGAACATTTTTGCTGTATTTGGCGCCGGCCAAGATCCCACAAAAGATTTCGACCATCATTCCCAAACCGTAGCCTTTATAACCTCCTGAGGGTTACAACCCAAACACACACACACACACACACACACACAACAAATCAGCTGTTTTATGAAGAGAGAGGCTGGGCAAAACAAATTTAGCTCTAAATATCGGACAATAAAGATTAGAAATACTATTACGAGAGAACCGATTATAACATGTCTGTCAGAAAAATAGTAAAACACAAGATACCTTCTCTTAATCATACTGCCTGAATTCAACAGTGTAATTAAGTTCCTAATTATGGCATGGCATCATGTACATCTAAATAAGGGTAAACTGTCTAAAACCTGGACTCTCAGAGAAACTGTAATGATTTTTTGATGTGTAATCTGGAGCTGGATCTTTTCCCTCCCTGTGCAGACATTTATCAGCCGTCTCTGACCTGTTGCTTCACTGCCCCCAATCGGCACCAAGCCCCCTCCGCTCAGGACTCTTTTAGGGTCAATGGTCATATTCCCATCAGCGTCACAGCCCCAGCCCACGGGTATGGGGTCTCCACGCCGTTCATGGAGCTCCACCTGTGTAGAGAAGACAGTGACACATGAAAGAAAGTGTCAGGTTGACTTTAGTTATGATTCTTAAACCATAACCAGGTCATGGCATTGGGCAAACAATGACTGACTGGCTCTCTTACCTTTCCGAGTGCGACTGCTGATGTGGCCATGTCCAGAACAAAGCTGTCTCCATTATCAGCAGGAGCTGCCACACTGATGGGGTTGGTGCCCAAAGTGCACTGCAGACAGCAGACTCACATTGTTAAATAAATAAAGACTGAGGAGTTGTTTGTGGAATTGACCGACTCTAGAAAAAGATAATAAATGTACCTCTTTTCCTCGTGTAGGAACAACCAGAGGGGAGGTGTTGGTGAATGACATGCCCTGCGGTGATCAAGTTATTCTTATTAGACTTTTCAGTCATCCAGAAAACACCTTTCCTTAGATCTTGACATGCCAAAAATAAGACCTGAACTGCTCGTAATGAGCTAAATGGAATAATAATAATAAAAAAAATACTATTTAAGTTTCTTGAGAAAAAAAAAAGTTGTATGAAATAACATAATAATAATAATAATAATAATAATAATAATAATAATAATAATAATAATAATAATAGATTTTATTTGTAACGCACTTTACATTTAAAAACAAATCTCAAAGTGCACAACAAGACAACAATAAAAGTAAAAACCAGCAACAGGGCAAAACAATAAAAAAAAAAAAAAACAGTCAGCAGATAAAATCAGATAAAATTAGTCCGGGTAAAAGAAGACATTTTTCTTGACTTGTTTTGTAAATGTGGCTCACATTAAACCTAATAAGACATTTTAATCAAAAATTAGACAAAAACACTTGCTCTGACTTGAATGAATTAAAAATAATTGTACAAGTAAAACAAATCAAAGTTAGTCTTAGTTGTAGATGAACATTTTAACTTACAATCATGTTTTCTTTCAGAGCTAGCAGAGCATAATGTCCAGCGATACCATAGTGGTTGGAACCTAAAAAAAGACAGAATAAATAAAATCAGCGAAACACTTTTACTGTTTCCTTTGTTCACAGATTTCAATCATTTACTGAGATAATGTTAAAACTCTTCAAAAGGCATCAATAGGTTACTACTGTTAAACCACATAATGGGATTTTTTTTTTTTTTTTTTTTTTGTAATTCTGATCAAATGCATTAAATTTGTTTGCAGTAATCAGAACACCCTAGAGCCCCAACAAGAAATAGTCTGGCGTTTAATTCATGTAAGACAATTCTTCTTTTCACCTTATTATCTTTAATGATCTAAAGACACAAATGACTAATGACACCTTTGTCTCCTTAAATACAAACCTTCATCTACAACGTCAACACTTTGGTTTAAGACACTAATTTACAAAAATTAGACTTTAACCTGATTATTTAAAGACAGCAGCCAGGTGCGAATATCCATTAGCCCTCCGTCTAAGTAATGTTGGATGTGTTGCACAAAGATGTTGCAAATAGACGAATGCATACATGTCTTTGCTCAGGTATCTTGTAAACATAAGTATCAGAACTTTAATCTGGGTTTTTAGGGGGTAGGACTCACCATGTGCCACCACCCAGCCAACGCCGACCTCTTTGGCTTTCTTTATGGCCATATTCATGCAGAAGTTTCCCACCACAGGACCCAGCAGGTTTTTCCCGTCCACCAGTGCTGTGGCTGCACTCTCTTTTTCCAACTCCGGCTCGCCGTCTTTGGCACAGATTCCCGATTTAATGTCCTTTACATACATGTCTGATGTAAAAACAGAGTGACAATGAACACGTTAATCTACAACTGAGGGATGTTGATGGCAAACTAAAGAAAATAAGTACACATGCAGTAAAGAAAGTACAGAGAGGTATAAATTACTACCATTCCTCTTTAATCCGATACATATTTTACAGACAAGTTCCTGGTTCATATTATAAATCATAAAATGTAGAAAATGTAACAAAAGTACTGAAATATTTAATCTAAACCAGACTAAATATACATTTACCTAAAATATATAATCTGTGTGATCGATAACTGACCACAGTTTACCAATTTCCTCCCCTTTTTTGCACTAAAACTCTGCTACAATACAATATCACATATTCAGGCATGCAGAAACAGAATGTGGAAACCCTCCAGCTCCTCACTGACCCATCCTGTTGAGCCCATGGCTGTAGTGTCCCCTGTGGTCCCCCTCCACCAGCACCTCAGCCAGACTCTGTGCGTGATGCTGCTTAGTGCCCACGGCTGTCATACACCTCACGATGAACGCCTGCACCTCCTCCTTCTTGATCAGACATCTGCAGAGAGAAGAAGTCATCAGTCGGATGACTTGAATTTTCAGAAAAACCGTTCCGCCGCTGTCTGAACTGATATCACAATTTTTTTTAAACGTGATTTTTTGCTCTCTAAGTATTTAGCATAAACGTAATAATACTACTCTTTTAAAAACAGCTGCTTTACGTTAACTCCCTCGTGTAGTGTTGCCTTTACCTGCTGATGAGGTGTTCTCACTGTGCAAACAGACGCTATTTGCTCAAGCTGTGTTACTGCACTACAGTCACACATTCAAAGGTGAAAAACATTATAATCCTGTTAATTCATGTGACGACACATGCCTGGTGCCTATGTTTGTTTACTGCCTCTTAACAGAGTTGAAGAGAGACGCAATACAAATTTGACTTCAGTAACAGAAAGCCAACAGAAAATCTATTAAGTCAACAGTGCAGACTTTTGACTGATGTCATGAAGAGCAGAACAGGAAGTCTGACTTTTGACCCAAAAAGCAAAGGTAACTCAGACCTGTTGAGTCGGTTCCCTATTTTTAACCAAAACCTTTTTCTTTTGACCCAATGTGATAACAGCCTATTATTAAATCTGTCATATTGTTTTCAGCCTGTGATGCCAAGTACATTTTGTTCCCCCTTCTCTCCCCTTTCACTACTGTCCTTGTCTCCTCCTCTTGTTTTCTTGTTTCACAGTATTCATTGGTTAGAAAAGGAACAACAAACTCGTAAACTCCTGGAATTTACCATAATTGTGTCCAGACACGAGCTGCAGGCGAGCTGGCTCTGTCGGCAACTTGGACGCGTTTCAATTTCTCTCTTGAGTGACATAATGTGCCGTAAAAATTCTGGTGCAAGATACTGACCGATAACTCAAATTATTGCCCAAACTACAGGATTCAAATCTGAGAGACACGAGTTCTTACACAAAGTTTCATGTTTAAAGTAACTTCTTGAATTCATCAGACCTCGATTGCTCCAAACACGAACAGCACCAACATTTCAGTCACAATTCACGGTGACAGTCAGCAAAACTTACTTTTCAATTTCCATGTAGCAGCTCACACAGGAACAACATGTACACCCACAGCCCAGATGCGGTCACCCCAAACCCCTCCCGTTACTGCAACTGTAATCTGTAATCTTCTTCATTTTTAATCCTGCAAAACAAGTTCATCTGTGGCCTGAAATGTCTTGTAGCAATATGATGGTATTGCATGCAAATAAGCACTCACACTTTTTTTTGTTTTGCAGATAATAATTCACTGTCATATCAAACCTCTGGGAGGAGTTTTTAGCTGGTTAGGAAACAGACTGAAATTTACAGTGGTGCTTTTTTATGACCCACAAACGTAAACAAAACCATCAGCAGCAACAAAGCAGGACGAAATCATGTGTCAGAAAAGACCAGCAAAGAGATTAGAGGTATTGCTTTGTCCATAGAGATCTACTATTTAAAGGGCTATCAGTGGTGTTACCAGATTTTAGCCAAAATCATGTTACCTGTATCAATTTCAAGGATTTTTCTTCTGCAGAGCTCCAGCAGATCATTAGCAATTGGCCTCTGAGTGGTGGGCAGAGACAGCGCTGCTCTGCACACTCCTCTTTACGCTAGCTTGCAGTCTAACATTTCTGATGTAGTAGAAGTAGCAGGTAATATCAGAGCTATTCAGCTCTGGGACACTAATGTCTTGGGGAACATGATGAAAGCTAACATCATAATTAGCTTTTGTATTTCGTTCAATTGAATTATCACATTTTTATTCTTCTGATGCCATCACTGAAACCTCCTCTACTTTATCCTGATGTGGATTGAGAACGTCTTGGATTTTGTCCCAGAAAGAATCTCACTTTGATTGAATTATCTTGATAATGTCAGTGGGGTCAAAGGGAGACGAGCTTTCACACTGTGTCCAACTTTCAATTTGTGTCAGTTTTGACTATTTTTGCCTGTGGACTAAGGAATCTGTGTTTGTCTAAATAGTGTCTTCTGACCATAAATTTCATTCTTGTTACTTTGTCACCATCAAATGTACCTTAAATTTTGAAAAAAAAGAGGAAAATGTGGGAAAAAAGGGCCGTTACTTCTGTCGGCTTGGCTCATACCAACCGTCTAGCACCAGTTTTAGGTATTGAGGTCACTACGTAGACCTCCTTAAATGGTCTTTTTGTCTTTTTTTGTCATGTAAATTTAAGAGAATAGTTAGACATTAATATAAAATTTTAAAAAAATTACATTCTACCTGTAAAGATTAACCTGCCCAAAATATATGAACCCTGAATGAGCCAACATTATACTAAATATCACCCCACATGGCAGTAAAAACTTCTCCGGTGTGAAGGTGCAAAGAAACTACATGGCTTTAGGTGGAAAGGTCTACAATGACACACTCAAGATTTCCGGTTTTAGTACAAACTTAAACCAGGACACACACATAACTACAATCAGTTTGTGCACATTAGTGTTACTGTCTGATATACTGCTGCTCAGTTGTAACACATTTTCAAACTCATGATAATGCGCCTTTTATTCGGACAAGTACAGCTGGTTTAATCTGACAAAGCTGTGACTGGATAAAAAACTACTGTCAACGTAAAAAGGAAATGAATGTACACAAAGTTTAAGTCAGTTCATTGAAGCCATCGAGACAGTGTATGTTTATCTTTCTGTATGAACATTGAATGCAGACAATCCAGTCTTGATGTGAACTCTAGAAATAGGATTATTCTGTCAAAATGCACCTGCAAGCGGAAGCAAAGTTATTAAATCACTGCCTTTTTGTCTTTTTAGTAGAAAACAAGCATAACAACTCCTCTTACATGAGGAGTGAAACATCTTGAACACAGGCCACTTTTTTTCTTCTTCTTCCACCACTGTAAATCTGGGACTCTCATCCATCATACCATCAAATTAACTTGTTTTCAGCTGCTGGTCTTGCTGCTGCTCATTCTGCTCATTCACTCCCTCGTTCTCTGACCCTCCTGTCTTTATTCTGCTTTGATTGACGAGCATCAGACTCTTACCTGCTCATGTTGGCTGTGCTGCTCTTTGCTCTCGTGCCGGTGATCTGCTGAAGTGTCTGTGATCCCCCTCAGTCAACTTGCTCTACAAGACGAGCAATGTTTGGAAACGCCCAGAGTTGACAAATCAACCAGGTGTCCTGTTTGTCTGTGTGTCTGTGGGCTGACTGCAGGGGGAGATACTCAGAGAGGGAGAGGAGGGGAGGGTATCATATAGGCCTGTTCTGGCTTGGTAAGGTCTAGGGGCTTCAGGCATCATGCAGACTTTGCATATTGTTGCTTGAGTGTCTTATATGAAAGGCGACGCATCTGTATCTTTGCAGAGTGTGTTACACTGGAAAGGAATGTCTTAATGGAAAAGGTCAGCAGTCCCCGTCAGTGTCTATATGCTAACGCAAACAATTGTGTGAAAAATCTTAAATTTGTAATATTTAATGTCCTGACACTTTTTAGATACAGAGAGACATTTGCAATCATTGTACAATCTTCTGCTAATGATAAAAAAGGTACTTAAGGATGTATACTTTCAGAGAAATCAAGATTTAGCGAGCAAAATTACATAGTACAACACTTAAACGCCTTACATACCAGAGAAAGAGAGAGAGAGAAAGAGAGAGCAAGAGAGGAAGGCTGTAAAACAGGTAAGAGCTCATATTCTACAGTCAAGATTCCCATGGCGTGAAAGGAAACAGATTTACATTAGGCCTTTAAAGACGGTTTTCTTCGCCTGGAGGGGTGTGGAAAAAAACAGTGAAACAACTTAGAAAAAAGGAGCTCACTTAGGTCACTGTGAATTGTTTTGAAAAAAAAAAAAACTGTATGATGTTAGATAAGAAAACTTGATAAGATGCAGCCAAAAAAGTAAGTAAATTGAATAACCCCACAAAAATCAGAAACATCCACCATCTCTAGATTTAAGGATTTCATGAAAACGTTTGGTTTCTTGTCAGTTGTTTCAGTCCTAAAAAGCGCTCTAATCTTCAGATGAAAGTGAAGTTTGGCTCTTCTTTGGGAGTCAAGGTCCCAGAGTCTGGAGGACGGTCAGAGAGGCCCAGAGTCTAAGGTAACATGAAGTTTCCACAGTATGTGACCAGTTGTGATGCCATCTCATCTTCTGGTGTTGGTCCGTAGTGTTTTATCAAATCTACAATCAATTTAGCCTAAAGTCCACCAGGAGATTTTAGAGCACTTTATGCTCCCAGTGATTGAAAGCCACATGTCACGTTGTACTAATGTGGTAATTCTTCTAAAAGAGCCCTGACAAAGTACTAAGTACAAAAAAAAGTGCCTCGACCATGCTACAATTCTGACCACATATTTCATAAATTTTTGACTGTCTCACACCATCAGTTTTTAAATTGTATATTTCCATTTCAAAAGACAACTTCCCATCACAAATTGGAACATGAAGATCGCATATGACGTTTCTTTTTGTTGACACAAAACCAAAACCCTTGACCACAAGGATTATAGATGCGCATCTACTATTGATTACCTACAGTTAAGGTCACTCAGTTTGTTAACAAATATTTGTACGTTCTACTTTTTTGCTCTACTTTTGTCCTTATCTTGGGATGAACTGTAAGTGCTTTCAATGCAGCATTATGGGCTCCCAATATTTTCAACCTGAAGAATAAATGTCTTTGTTTATGGTGAAGAGACAACACCCTCTTAACCACTGCAACAGTCATTGAGCAATTCCTCAATCTGCAGATTATGTGTATAATACCTATATGAGTCATTCACGACAGGAGCTCAGCCTGCATGGACTTGGCTTTGGTGCAGGGGAGGGGTCACCGGTGTGCCCTGATGTGGATCTAAGTGTGGAAAATGGGCTCTTCCCTTTCTCTGCCAAAGTGTCTTTGTGCAAGTCCTCAACTGCTCAGTGCACTTGTCTGTGCGCAGACCCTCACTCTTATGTGTCTCCATTGGTGTATGTCCATACAACTCTGTTTGTGCATAGATCATTGTATGTGTAAATGAAGCTTGTTCAGTAACAGCGCATAAATAAGAGGAGTGCATTTTCTTGATGTTTATCTAATGCCTTTTCTTGTTTTTTTGTCTTTATTCTTACCCCACAAATAGCATGTGCAGTAATGAGTAATGAATAAATCAAGCTTATATCCTAAAGGATGGTGCACTTAGACTTTTGCCTCAGAAATACTATAAGGAATTATCCGGCAATAAAACATACAGAAGTAAACAACGATGCCACCTACAAAAGCAAACTAGTCCGGCAGTGGCTAGAATGAGAACGTAAAACTCCACTGGAAATTTTGTTCACTTGGAAAAGACTATAAAAGCGCAAAAACTAGAGCTGTTTAAGGTTGATTTTTTTTATCATTATCAATTGCTTTCAATAGTTAATCATGATTGACCTCATTTCTGATTGATCAAGGCACATCTTAATAGATGTAAAGTCACTTTTAATGTCTTGGAAAAAAAGCTCCTGTGCAGAACTTTTGTTTTTTGTCTATATTGGCGCCCCCCTGTGGACAAAGCACTGTTTGCTTATCATTTCTTTTTTATGCTTAAGTACAGTCTTCTGAACAAAAAATGGTTAGGTTTAGGGTTAGGGTTAATCTTATTTACTTTCACCTATCATAAAAATGATAGGTGATTTATTCTGGAGATTTATTCAAGCTCACATTATGCTGCTGTGTGGTTTGTTAGAGGCAGAGCTGACTCAGTTCTCATGTGTTTCTTATCCTGGAATATATGAGCGTAGAAGGAGCTAATGAGATACTCAAGCCTTGGGGTTTTTTCGACAGATTTCAAAGGGTTTTAATTGGTTGGGGAAAAGTTTGCAGGCACACAAAAAAGCTCTTAAAAAATTAACTATCTACACAGGACAGAGAAGATTTCAGCCAGGGACAGTGGAGTGTGTTGTGTATAATGTAAACCTGTTTTTAATTATGTGTTCACTTGTGCTGAACAAGTTTGGAACAGAGACAAATGTTTAGGAACAAAGGGCGTGGAAACACGTTTGACTACCAAAGCACATCCTATAGTTACAATAATTACAATCTTAAAGAAACGTTTTCTCCTTTGCACTAGTGTTGTGTCATTCATAAACCATTCACTCAAAAGAACCAAATATTTTAAGTGAACTTTCTGAACTAAATCACTTTCTCAAGTGATTCGTTTGTTTCTCACTTCAGTTGAGCTGTCAACAGCGCACATCAGCAGCACGCAGCATTACGAGGCGAGCAGCCAGCAGACGAGGGACCACATACACCGACACAAGAATCACGCGTTGAACTACACTCTCTGGAATCATTTTTGTCGGACAAAAATAACTTTTTTTTTTCTGCTTAATTGCCACCACAACAACTTGCATACAATGGGACACAACATGTAACAAGTAGTGCATAAAACTTGCAGCATCCTATTATTGCAGTGGTTTGTGAGGGAACGGTGCATGTTCAGTGTGAATTCTTCTAAACGTTCAGCGAACGAGTTACTCACTGAGCGTAATTTACCGAGCAGACTTGATAAATAGCAAACCACAGGACAGTACACTTAAAACATCATGACAAGTTCATTTTACAAACCTGATTGCCAAAGCAACACAGTTTCAACACAGTTCCCAAACACTCTCCTCTCCCGGTCCCAAAGACTATGAACTGAACTGAATCCTGAACCGTTCAGCTGTGTATCAGTTCAGGAGGTCGGAGTCGCAGACTCCTCCCGCCAAGCGCTGATTTGGTGAACGAATCTTTTGAACAAATCTTCTTAGTGAACTGATTCTAGTGATTCAGTACATCTAAAAGAACTGCCATGCCCATCACTACTTTGCACCACAAGTCAGTGTATGAATTACTTCATGACACAGTGTATCTTTAACCTTCCTTCTAACAGTGTAAGAATCAAGAAGGAGTAACTCATCCCAAGGCTGACGGTGAGGCTTTAAGTTCTGTAACATCCCTGCAGATCTCACATATCCAGACAAATCCAGATGTCCTCACTTTAAAATAACAGAGTAACCCGACCAGTTTCAATTCAATATGCAAAGCTTTGGGTATGTGAACAGTGACAGGATGCATGAGATAACTTCATAATGCCATAATGTTGGATGAGTTTAGACATGCAGCATAGCGTGAACTTTGCATCTGCCTGTAGGAGATCTGTGAACCCAGGTTGATCAGCATGAAGATGGTTATTCATCATTATATGCCAGTTAACTTGGTAATAATAATAATAATAATAATAATAATAATAATAATAATAACAACAACAACTAACTGTGTTTCATCAATGCATTCAACAAATAATCTACTGTTGTAATTATCAGCATGTCTTAACAGCTACTGTTCAAATTAACATGCCGCAATAAATGCGTTAGTGAGGATCAACATGTCTTTGTTTCTCTCTGGGTGTGTGTCTGCGTGCTATATCCTCTGTATACACTAACAGGTATGAGCAAGCCAACAAATGTAGAGACAAACTGCCTGTATGAGGTGCCGATTTTGTGGATTTCATATACAAAAAAGGAGCAGAGCCACCTCTTTTGCCTGAGAAGACATCTGTGGTTAGATGCTGCAGATGTTTTATCAGTCTGTGGTGTCTACTGTGTTCGGTTCTATGCTGCAGTCTGCTGGGGAGGCGGTATCAAACACAAAGATGCAAGACGACTGAACAGACTGATTTAAAAAGCTGGCTCTGTCGTTGGTATCAAGTTGGACTCACTGGAGGATGTGGTGGAGGGATGTCCACTGAGGAAGGTGGAGTCTATTCTAAGGGAAATGGATCACCCACTTTGTAACACCTTGATGGTGTTATGGTGTTGACCAAAGGGCCAATCGAAGTGGATGGCTCCTCTCACAAAGATTCAGAAGATCTTTTGTACCCACAGCCATTTGACTTTTCAATTCATCTATAAATCGTAGACGACTTGAGACATGGCACATGAGACTACAGACAATTGAATTTTCCTTCAGGGATTTAGAAAGAGCTTCTTTTTCTAAAAATAACATTTCTCCACATTCAGCTCCTACATTTACATGTACAGTTAAGCTGAACTACAGTAATAGGTTGATAAAGCAATTCAACTGGACCACTGGTATTGAAATTATAGACAGAAGCATTTCCACAATCGCTACAGTAGGTGGCGACATGCCCCTTTTCCACTGGTCACTACTGTGCTATTTCCAAGTTGACCTACTACATCATATACCATACACACCCACAAATGTGTTGGCAAGAGGCAAACAGGATGTCAAATGATGGAAACACGGTCACTTTAAAAACCTTGTATCTTTTAAATGTAGGGTAAGACTGCTTCGTCTTTCTAAATGTACACTTTTTCTTTGGTTTAGTCTTCATCTTGGCTTCCCAGCATCACATTTATGCTTTTCAACTTTCCAGTCAGAGCCTGGCGTGCAAACTTTGAGACAAAGAAAAAATGCTTAGACCAGTTTCAGGCTGATTGAACCATACAGCCGCATTATCTAGATTTGTTAGTCCCACAATCTGTATGTTCACATGTTAAAATTACAATAACAACTGAAACACATTAATCTGTCTGAAATCCCATGAAATCAAACTTCACACAGTTGAATAACATACCTTGATGATGAGATTGAGATGGATTTTTTTCTGTCAGCTTAACCATACTATATACAGTCTATGGCTGTGCTTTTGGCCAAGTGGCATACAGAGTTGATTGTTCCTTTATTCTGTCATGTATCAAGTTAACAGTGCAAAGAAGGAAAAAGGCAAACTGGAAGATAATGTCACTGTTAAACCTGAATCTAAGTTTAACAAATCCAAATGTTCAATATAAATCTTAATGTAAAATTTTTAGTCTTAAAACAAAACGTAAAAAAAATAGTGTTGAGAATTAGATCTAAATGTTAAAGATATTAATGTTAAAAGTTCAGTCTGAATGAGAAATAAAAATCTGAATGTTAAACATCAAAACTAAACATTGAATGTCAAAAATACTAAACCCAAAGCTAAAGCATCTCTAAAGAGATTCATGTGTGTTGTCTGGACTCTACATAGACAAACACAGAAACCACATGAATACACATACAAGCCTTCATAAACCGTATCTGTTGTGCAAACCATGTCTTTTTTACACCATTGCCATGAAATCCTTCCTGGATGTTCTTGGAGCTCAAAGGTAGAAAACCTGTTTGTAACACCTTGGATTTTTTTTAATATACCACATCTAGGTTGGCACCCCCTTTGTTTGGAAAGAAATCCAAATATCTGACATGTTTTTGACCACAACGTCCTCAATGCACATTAACATTGCACCAAGATTATACCTCACAGGACTCCATGAGCTTGTGGGCTTTCCTTTTGTACCACAACACCATCTGGTGTGCAATGTGAGCTTTGCAGACCCAGTTTACAGACTCTCATATAGGAAACTTGGAGAAGGCTTAAAAAACAGGAGTGTCTTCTGTTCAGTGCTTTCAGTCTCACCTCGACTCGTACATCTGGTTGCTTTTGTGTCTTTCCTGCATGTCGTCCTCTGTCCTCTCCAGCCCCCACCTTCGATCAACAGCTGCCAGGAAGGGCGGCCATGTTAGTGTCCCCTCCCTGTGCACTCCAGGCTCCTACCCAGTAATTCTCCACAAGTCAGACATCTGTAAGCATTTCTATCCAACCACAGGAGCAAAATAGAAAGTTTGTAGCTCAAGGCTGTGATTTGGATGTATATAAATAAAGTTGCAAGCAAAGGAGAGGCTGCTAATATGAAAAGGACTATGGAAGGTGGGAGGTCCAGCGGAGAGGGACACTAGGGTCATCGAAGACCAAAAAGGGAGAAGAGACATTTAGATCTACTCTGTGGTCACTTTACACAAACTGCAGAAAATGTACAGTAACCTAAAGAAGCTTTGCAAAAAGATTTAACTTCCACTTCAAACCATGAAAGGTTAAGAGATTTAATTTCTTAACAATCTGGGAGTTTAAGTCTGTAAGGCTGTGCGATGTTGTCAAACCACCCAAAACATTGTTTGCAAGGAGAAACACTTAGAGAGGAGAATATCAGGAGCTGTGTTTTGAACCTTTAAATGTTCCATAAAGCTGTCGCAACATTTTTAACTCCATACTTTAACAATAACACAAGATTTTTTTCTACAGTTTCATCTAATAAGAAAAGATATTGCCTTTGAAAAACTGAATTTTTTTGGTTTTCTTTTGATTCCAGTATAATGCTGACAATTTTTGTCCATGATCTGAAAGGTGGGACTAACTTACATGATTGGGATAAAACTCTTTTTTTAACATTGTGCATCGTCTCTGCATTTCATACAGTAAACATTTTCTAACTCCCCATCTGACTCATTCCTGTACAACTTTTTCACATACTAGATACGAACATTTCACATAGTTGATATCTCATTCTTTTAAAGTCATCTTGCTTGTATGATTCATTTTATTACTCTATATCCTGTTTCTTTTCTCTTTTGATACGTTTGCTGTTGTGCCCCTTGAATATGTACAAACCATAGCTCTGATTCTTTAAAAAAGTGTTTGATTGGTTCAGGCTACTGGTGTTTACAACCTGTAAAGGGCAGATAAATAATGGCAAATCTTTCCTATAACATGCACAGTTTCATCACTCAGATGGACAGCACATGAAGTGAAAATAAGCAGCAGGCTTCCACATTTTGCTGCCGTCTCTTCTGTAGTGGTCTGTCTCAGCCGCTCTGCTTCACCCATCCTAAAAAAAGGATGATCTGTGTAGTGGGTACAGCAGGAGGATCACAGCTGGTTTTTAAGCAGCCATGCCTTGTCTGTTCCCTCTAACTAAACTCCAGGATCAAATCCACGAGACTCAAAATAATCAAAAGTTGGGGGCAGGTGCAGCAGCTGCAAAAAGTCAAGACACTTTTACAAAAGTCCACAAGTTTACTAGCCAAGACGGGAATGGCTTGAGTAGTTTGACATAAAATGAAGTTTCCTTTAGTTTCTTTATCTTTATAATCTTGGAATTTCCCCCTGTGGGACTAATAAAGGTATATCTTATCTTAAAGTATGAGAAAAAAAAAATTCTAATGGGTCTTTTTATAACATATTGAATAAACAGTATCTGGTTTATTGAGCTCAGTCACAAGAGGTCAGTACTAAGATTATGTTAAAGTCTTGACATAACAAAAATACATGATTAATGACAAAAATAGATGCATATGGAAAAATTAATACATTTTTAAAAATGTCTGGAAAAAGAAAAATAAGTGGCTGTTATTGGGAGGTGAAGGTTGTCTGTCCTTTATCAGGGCTTCTCATCGTCGCGACACTCAGACTTTGGCTCTTCTTGTCTTTCTCAACATAAATACAACAATAAATATGATAAACATGATCCAGAGTAGCTGCTTGATTTATCTCTCAGGCTGGATTCAGCTTCTTGTCTTTCCATTTGATAATTTCTTTGTAATCTCATTCTCTTCAGTTCATGATTAACTTCACATTTGAACTTACTGGCAGGCAGGTTTTAGCTCAACGTCTCCCAACACTGATGTTACAATAAGGGATGCACCAATCCTAATGCACTGCAATATTAACACTGCTACATAAAAATTTGGTTTTATTTATTGCGTCCTCTCTGTTATTGTTTTAATGCAAGCACAAACCTCCAGTTTAAAAAAAAAATTAGGCCAACATGGAAGTGAGAAATACTGCAGTTCATCGAGTGTCCACTAGAGGTTGGCTCCAAAAGTCATGGAAACCCCACTGGAGCCCAAATTATACTGTTAATTCTTACTTCAGAATTGATTTGGTTTTATCTTAGTTCTTTATTCATGACAACCGTGTTGGGACACATTTCATTATAACTCTTTGATTTTGGTTAAAGTGAGGCTACCAATCATAATTGGCTCCATGGCTGTTTTGATTATAAGATAGCAACATCCCTGTTGGCCAAGCAGCAAGACTACGGCCTTACCTCCATTCTTTGCTGGTTTATAGCTTAGCCAAAAGATAGTTTACATTTCCAATATGGTGACCCATCCATGCCTTAAACAGCTGCTTCACTTTAATTTACTTGTCAAATTTGAATATTTGGATTAGTACTGGTGCATCCCTTAAAAGACATTCCTTTTATACTTAAACCAAGGCTTCCACTGATTATGCTGATTTTAGAGTAAAAGAAATCCCAGCACTCAATGGCTCTGGATTTCATGGGAAAACCAAGGACTCGGAATAAACTGGATGAAATATTTAGGAGCATTCATGTCAGCTTACAGTACTCCTGCTGAATCTTATCAAATACCCTCTCCCAATTAGTGCCATTTGGTTGACTTTAAGACAATACTTTGAATATTCTTGTTCCTTATATCCATCTACCAGCTGAACAGTTTCATGAAGTTTTGAAAGCCGTCTTCTCCAAGGAAGTCGAAGGAGCCCTGGGACGTCCCCAGGTGAACCAACAGGAGGACGAGCAGGACGACGGCCAGGAGAGGGATCAGCAGGTTCCAGCCGGCTGCTAGGATGTTGTACCACTTGGCTTTATCTGAGCACTCCTGGGCCAGCTGCAGGTTGCCCTGAGTCTTCTGATCCCTGGCCTACACAGACACACAAACACACTTGCATTATTTTACCCAAATTAAGTGGAGCTACGGTGTACCTAGTGACAGTGGGAGAGCTTCTGTAAAGTCTCATAATATGTTTGTTTAAACATGGTCTTTCCTTGTCCTGTAACTCCCACTTTTTCCTCACCGAGTACAGACTCAAGGTTGTGGGAGGGCTAAGCGCTGCGAAATCCTTGAGCAACTTCTATCTGTGTATTTTGGAATGAATCAGGCTGAGTCTTTCCCCAGCACTCTCTAATTTCCCATGAGTACTCGCCCATTAGGAGGATGCCAATTATACTGTTTTTAACTCCCTAGACGAGCAGCCAGTCACTGTCTTTAATTTTGAGCGCAGAGCCAATACTGAGCCTGTGATTCAGAGCTGCGCCCTGCACAGGCAGATGAAAGATTTGAAAAAGACTAAAATAAAGCACATGCACGCCCTTTTTGCGGTAACATTTTTTTTTTCTTGTTCAGGTAGGTACACAGCAAGACCGATCCTGCAAACAATATTTTTCAAGGATCTTTAAGTTGCCGTTAAATGAGACAGGTTTTGTTTTGTTTGGGTTCCTGTTTCTGCACAGCCTCATTCCTGCGGTAAAAGGCGCACCAACTTTCTGCAGCGTTTGCCATCTGATCAGGGACAATAACAGACACCACAATGATTTAAATACAATGCCCTCTCCATTTTAGAACTAAAACCTCCCCCAAAGGACATTTACTTCATACAACACACAATACCCTGAAACATTTCTTGAATCCCACGGTCAAAATGTGGCAATACCAAAAGTTAAATTTCTTTGAGACGTTACTGCGAGCCAACTTGTTGCCTGTTTGGCCCACTTGCCTTTTTCTGCAACCTTTAATTATCATGGCATTTGGATGGTTCAGTTTGCACAAGACTGGCATTGTAAAACTCTAATGTTATATTGTATTATTTTAACTTCCTTCTTACTTATTATAATTTACCTCTGTTTGTTTCCTTGGTATCTTTATTACAGTGTCTTCATTTTGTGTTCGCCAAAACGACATTCAATCATTATTTGTAAACATAAGAAATCTTTAGTTGTAAATAATGATCAATGCTGAAAAACATTATTTAAAATCATTTATAAAGACATGGTTAATACACAGTGTAAAATCTCATCTTTTTAATTCTTTTGTGTGTGTTTTAAACACATCAGTTGTTTCTTGGATTTGTTGAACTTTCATTTTGAATTACAAAAGTGAGCAAAATGTCTGACCTTGATGGAGTAGACAAGCGCCATGAATCCCAGGCAGCAGAAGTTAACATACAGGGTGTTGCACAGTGACCAGACCAAATAGTCCCGGGGAGGATTCTTGCCAACGTTGCCCATGTTCACCACGGTGGATCCAGCAGGTTTACGGGCAGACTTACAGTTGGTGAGAGGGGTGCAGTCCGAGGGGAAGTTGTACGAATGGTTATCCATGGTCAGCTGTTAGAACGAGGTTGTTGCCCGCGAGATAGCCTTCAAGATGCCAGTCACTATTCCTCTTCAGAAAGTGGTGCCCCCACCTGCCTGTGTGAGAGGCTTATAAAGGCCTGTGAAAAGGGAGGTGGCCGGGAAAGGACGCATGGGCAGGGTCCTTTCATATACAGCAGGTCTGTCATTATGTGGTCAGGCCGAAGAGGGACTGAAATAGAGATGCAGAGAGACAGAAAGCTGAATGAGAGAGAGAAAAGTAGACTATGGATACATGTATGAGGGTGGTGCACAGATTGTTAAAAGTGATAAAATGCCTCATCTATGGACATCAAGTTGTATTGACTATCACTGACTTTTTCCTACAGCCTTTCTTTTCCTTTCTTTTCCCTAAATAACAGTTTCCTTCAGATAAACCATAACAAGAATTAGATATGTTTGCTTTTTGTCATTTTCATAACCTTACTTTGATCAAAGTACACCAACAATAATCAACATGTCACGTTATAAGAGCAAAGAATGTAGGATAATCACATTTTTCCTGTTTGAAAGCACCTCTTAAATCATCAAAAATAAAAGAATATTATTCCTCATGTTTGGCCTGAGTGTTCACAGCAACATATTAAAGCTAAACTTTGACTCTTATAAAGTGGAACAAATGCAGCAGTTGTTTGAATTAACCCTTTCTAGTATGTAATCTTATAACCGGTCCTCGGGTTTCATGACATTTAGAAAAGTTGAACAAAGAGTTCATCCAGACCCACAGCAGGAGCTTATCCAGCAAGTTCAGTCACCATCACGCTCAAAAACAAATGTGTGCCCCAAACATCAGTGACATTAGGGTCAAACACACCGTAACATCGAGTTAAACACCCCGTCGAGAGATTAGTTATACCAACTTTAGTAACGACCGCACGATAGCAATACACAGCGGTCTGAGGAGGAACCAAAACACCACTCTATAGCCACAAATAATGCTCAGAACAGCACCTAACTTCATCAACAGTTCATCTTGGGTCCTAGCCATAGTACTGGCCATTAAACATCTTTTTAATTTTGCCTAATTTCTCTAGCAAAGAGACTAAACACAACTCACCTGCTCTCATTCAGCAGCCATTTGTTTGTAGCAAGACCTCGGGTCAGTCCATTACGAACTACAGCAGGGTGACGCAGCTCAAGGAAGAACATTTATAATCAGACCGAGATGCTAAGGCAAAAGAACTACCGTGTCTGCAGAGCAAAATGATTAATATGGTGATTATTACTTCAAGGAAATGATAAAGTAATGACCATAAATGTTCTTCCTTGAGCTGCGTCACCCCGCAGCGGTCTGTAATTGCCTAGCCCGAGGTCTCGCTACAAACAAGTGGCTGCTGGAAGAGCGTAGGTGAGTTAAAGAAATCAGGCAAAGCTAAAAAGATGTTTGGTGGCTAGTACTATAGCTAGGACCCTATATGTACTGTTGATGAAGTTAGGTGCTGTTCTGAGCGTTATTTGTGGCTATAGAGTGGCGTTTTGGTTGAGGTTTGTTTGTGGCTCCTCAGACCGCTGTGTATTGCTATCCTGCGGTCGTTACCAAAGTTGGTATAGCTAGAGAAGAGAAGCGGTCGGCAACATTAATCTCTCGAGGGGGTGTCTAACTCTGTGTTATAGTGTGTTAAATTTGACCCTGACCACTGAAAGCACATAATACATGTTAACTCTTACAACATAAGGGGAAATTCAGGTCAAAAGAACTATGTGACATGAAAGTAATTCTTCAAGTTTGTCTGCACCTCTGTGTGTTTTCAGGAGGATGTGTGATTCATGATCTACACTGCTCACCAACCAGTCTTGTTCTTTACTCTGCGAGGAGAATAAGCGAAGGCGTGGCTACCTCCCATATGCTCTAACGTGATTGGCCGGCTCTTGAAACCCTTCTGAAGTAGGCGGGACTTCAGGACTGCTTCTGTTTCCGGAAACTACCTAAACACATACACACGTGTGAGAGAGGCTGACATCAAACGTACACTGCTCTTTCCTGAAGACTTAGGTGAGTAATAAAAACTGCTCCATCTAGGAATAACAACATGGGACAAGTCTGCACGCCGTTAAAGACACTAACCTGTTAGCTTGTCGTTTTTGCGAGCAACAGCCTCGCCCCCCGTTAGCAGTGTTAGCTAGCAGCCTGTTAGATGATGACCATGCAGGCGTGTTAGCGGCTCTGCTAACTGAGGAGATGTCCCCAGGACTTCGTGTCAGTGTTCAGTGTCGAGTAGGAGTGGTCTGTAAGAGAAGTGCTCTCATCCAAAGCTAGTCGTAACATTTGCTTCTTAAACAGTAAGCCATTAGTATGAAAAGGCGAAGCTTGAAATAACGCATCACAAAGCGATCTCTACTACTATACCAAAGACATGAGTAATGCAGATTTAATTTCAGGTCACTCCACTTTGATAAGTAAATATGAGCATCCTTAGGCACTGTTGTTTTTGTAGTGTGTGTACCAGTGACCTAGACATGCAATTGATGTTGGTATTGGTTCTCGGCCACCGTAGTTGGGTACTCTTTGGGATCTATTCCATAGCATTGTGGGAACTCCTATCTATCAGATTACAGCTAGTTAACCAATACCAACATCAAGTGCATCTCTAGGTCACTGGTAACTTCCGTAGTGACTTCTTTTTTTGCATTCTTTTTTATTATTTGCAGCAGTGGTTGTTCTCGGCCACCGTACCCAACAGGGTATATTTACAGAGACATTTAGACTGACAGTTCAGTCAAGTCTGAATAGGAAATCTAATTTGACTGGATTGTGGGGTTTTTTTTCCTTAGGTTGGCTCTGATGGCTGACTCAGAGCCCACCCCTGTCCCTGCTCAGGTCGGAGAAAAAAGAAGCTGTCCTGAGGGTGAAGAGAAAGACACGCCATCCAAAAAACTCAGAGCTGAGAAGGATAACAAGAATGGAGACCCACCCCAACCGGACGATGAGGAGGAGGCGCTTGAGGGAGACGCAAGTGATGGAGAGGAGGATGGGGAGACTTTTGCTGATATGATGAAGCATGGCCTCACTGAGGTGGATGTTGGTATCCTGAAGTACGTCAGTGACCACAAGGGCTTCTCAGGAATCTTGAAGGAAAGGTACGTCCTACAGAGTCTGCAAAAACTGACTCAAATCATTTGTAAATGATTCAGTTGAGATGTGAAACTGACGATACCTTGTGTTTTCTCAGATATTCAGATTTTGTGGTGCATGAAATCAACAAACAGGGCAAAATCGTGCATTTGGATGACCTCTCCATTCCTGCAGAGGTTGAGGTAAGAAATATGAAATGGATTTAACCATCAGGGTTACTTTCCTGAACCATGATCTAAGTTTTCTTAATTTACAAGAACAGACCGCACCTTGATGTTTGAGGAGTAACAATGAACATTTAAGACAGAGTGTTATTTCTTGTTTAATCCACTTGTTCATGAAACATGGAGGTTGGGTATCACTGATAGTTTAATTTTGTGCTTAATGCAGGTCAAGTTACAGAAACTTTTGTAGAGAGAAAATTCCTCCACTGTATTCTCCTCTCTTGACGGATATTCTCATCCTGTGTTGTACAGTTCAGATAATGCCTTCAACTGCCTCTACTGTTTGTTTGTTTTTTGTAAGGGAGCCTCAGAGGTTGAGGAACAGCCAGTTGAATCTGATGTGCTGACTGAAGAGCAGAAAAAGCAGCTTGGGGAGCTGCAACTCTTCAAGAATAAAGAGGCCAATGTCTCGATTCAGGTGAGTCTTGGCCTTGTGCAGTCAGAGCTTTATTGTGTGAAAGGTTAATTGCTCAGAGCTCAGTCCCAAGCTTTATCTTTAACACTCTGGGAGTCTTACATGGAAATGTTGCCCCTGTCTTTAACTGTGTAGGTGGTGGATGACACGAAAGAGAAGCGGACTCTGGTTCACAAAGCCATCAAGACTCAATTTCCTGGACTGGAGACTAAAACTGAAGAGAAGGAAGGGTGCAAGTTTATAGTGGCGTACCATGCTGCTGGGAAGAAAGCCTTGGCAGGTATGCAGAGAGGAGACAGAAACAGAGTTCAGCCGAAAATGATCTTGACCGAGTCCTTTACACACGTATTCTTTAAAACTATCAAAGAATTTGTGCATGTTTAGCTTCGGCTTTTCAACTGCAATGCATGTGGAGCCACATGCATTCCAGAGCAGTGAAATATGATGCATGCACTCCAGCATGTGCATGATCAGGGTATCTGCATGGTTTATTCAAAGTGGTTTAAGATACCAGATTTGGTAAAGGACTGACATTGTTATTCAGTGGAATGCTTGGTTGTAGATTTTTACTAAGCTTGATCAGAATTAAGCGTTAAAAAGAAAACATCATGGAAGAAGAGATGTGTTGACTCAGAGTCTTGAAATGTCCTTTACCCACACTACACCCCACTCACAGGCCAATGCATGCAGTCTCACCCCTGACAAACAGTCCCATAGTCTTCAAACACTCTTTCTTAGTAACATTATTCTATCCTCCTTTTGCTTTTCTCTGGTGGATAGAGGTCAAAGCAGCTACAGGTAAGAAACTATATTCCACACAGCTCAGATGAAGTGGTTTAAACCTACAAGGAGTTCAGTTAGATTTTCTTTAACAGAAATTAAGACATGATAGAATTCATTTTTCCTTTACCAGGATAAAAATATGGATAGAGAGCATAGTTATTAACCTTGGAAAACTACAAAGTCATGAATCTTCAAAGGGGTTTCATCATGGTATTTGTGAATAGTTTTACTAAATGAGTTTTGCTGTGTGCTTCAAAGTAGCCGTCTTTTTCTGTGTTTACAAAAAGCTCCAAGGAAACACTTCTGGCCCAAAAACCGTGGCAGTTTCTGTCACTTTGTCCTGTACAAGGAGAACAAGGACACCATGGAAGCCATCAACGTGCTGTCAAAGTTCCTCAGGTCTGAATGTAAAATTCAGTTTTTCATGGCTGACGGATCGGCAGTTTTTTTGGCGATTGTAAAAATGATGCTTGTCTTTCTAGGCTCAGACCCAACATGTTTTCCTATATGGGGACCAAGGACAAGAGAGCCATCACTGTGCAGGAGATTGCAGTGCTCAAGTGAGGAAACCACAGTTTCAGTCTGATTGAATTCAGTCTCACATCTGTAAATAATTTGGAAATAGGTTGTGGAGTACACATTTCATCACAGCTGGGAGTATTTTTGCAGGTGCTCATCAGATCTGATCTTAAAGGAGTCTTTTCTCTGTCCTCCCAGGATCACAGCAGAGAGGCTGTCTCACCTTAACAAGTGCCTCATGAACCTCAAACTAGGAAACTTCAGCTATAAAAACCACCCTCTGAAGCTGGGGGAGCTGCAGGGAAACCACTTCACTGTTGTCATCAGGTCAGTAAAAAGGTTCACTCTGAGTTTTTTGACAATCCAGCAAGGCTGCGGTCATTCCCTGCTGCTTGTGCTCCTGTGCTGATATGTGGATGTTTTCACAGAGCTTAGATTTATCACGTTAGACACCTAATTCACAGTATTAACAGTTTGATCAAGATTTCACTCAGTCCCATCCTCTTGAGGTCAGTGTGTTAATGATTCATTATTGACTGGTTATTTTCTGCACGTCAGGAACATCTCAGGAACAGACGAGCAGGTCCAACAGGCCATGACATCCCTCAGGCAGACAGGATTCATCAACTACTACGGCATGCAGCGTTTTGGCACCACAGCTGTGCCCACACAGCAGGTTGGAAGGTAAGTTCGTGACATGGAGGTGCTGGCATAAATCATGGCAGGATGGTGCTTTCAGGTTTTGCTGTCACTTTTTGTTTTGGACAGAGCGATCCTGAAAAATGACTGGAACGAGGTGGTGGATTTAATTTTGAAACCCCGTCCCGGAGGTAAATAATTTCTCCTGCTCTCCTTTCTTTCAGCTGTAAGGTGATTTAAAGAGCATTTATAAGCTGCATTTTTCATTTTCTTCAGCTGAGAAAGAGTTTCTGGTGCGCTGTAGGGAGGAGTGGGCGAAAACTCAGGACCCAGAGGCAGCCCTGAAAAAGCTGCCCAACAAGCGCTGCGTTGAGGGGCAGCTGCTGAGAGGCCTGGCCATGTACGGCAAGAAGAACATCGTCACTGCCTTTGGACTGGTTGGTTTCTTACTAACGACACTGAGAAGACTGAAGACATTCAGAACATAAAGAAATGATCCAGCTCTTAAAGCTGCTAGAAAAAAATGGCCAAATTTTAAAGTTGGTTGCACAAATCCCTGTGCTTTCTAGTACAAATTGAATGTTGAGGATCAAAAGGATGCTTTCATTTCCTTTTACTGACAGTTAAATATCACATTTACTCATATTTATATCCAACCAGTCAGGTTTCTGATGAGTTGTGTTTGTTCTTTATTTTCAGATCCCTCGTAACAACCGACTGATGTACATCCACAGCTACCAGAGCGTGGTGTGGAACACCATGGTGAGCCGCAGAATTGAAGCCTTCGGCCTCAAGGCGGTAGAGGGAGACCTGGTGCTGCGAGGAAGTTAGTAGCTCATATTTTCTCAGCTAGCTCACTGTAAATATTAAAGGAACAGTTTGGTGTTTTTGATATAGCGTGTCAACAAGTGGGTTTAATCTCTCAGACAGTTTTCTAGCATTATGATGTTGACTGTGATGGTCCTCTGTGCTGATGTTGTCTCTGATGTGTCCATGAAGCCACAGCACATGTGCTGTCTGCAGAGGAGGCTGAGAGTCACTCCATCCATGACATTGTGATGCCTCTACCTGGGTTTGACGTCATTTACCCCACTCATCACGGTAGGAAGTTTCTCTGTATCATCTGTGTTTAACTTGAGGGGATTGTTTCAGAATTTTTAACACAAATATATGACAGTAGAGTATCCATTTCTCACTGACACCCCCTTTGTTTTGCAATTCTGCAGCAGTTCGTATTGAAACAAAGCTCTAAAGAGAAATTTAACTGAAGTCAGAATGATGGTGATACAAAGTGAATGTCAATTTAAAAGAGACGCTGGGAAAATGGGAGACTTGAAAGCACGCACTATTTTGACTTGTAACACGTGTGTCATTCTGTCAGTGGGGAAAGGATACGGAGAGCTGCTCTCTGCAGACGGCTTGGACATCAACAACATGAGACACAAAGTGAAGGACTACTCTCTGGCTGGAGCCTACAGACGAATCATCATCAGACCCAGCGACGTCAGCTGGTCAGCAGCAAACGAAATATTTGAATGACTAAATCTTACTGCAGTGGATCACTGTTGATGAAGCCTTTAATGATTTAAACCAAATCTTATTTAAATACAATAGCCGTTTTTTGTGCAGTTCTTTGAAGGCTTACTTCATTTCTTTTGACAAATTACTGCTTCCTGAAGTTCACTTCAGAGTCTCAGACTTTTGTCTTTTTTTTTCTTCTGTATTTCATGCAGGGAGGTGATTCAGTATGAAGACCCCAGGCTCTCATTGGTGCACAGTGATTTTGAGAAACTGGAGAACAAACCTGCTCCTGTCGTTAACAACGGTGAGTTCATTTAGTGCTAATTTTAAAATGAGGAAAAGTTGAAAGGGTAATCTGTAACCAAACGATTCAGTATAAAGAGGCATAAATACCTTCTTGACTAACCAGAGTATGTTTTGACCAAAAGAGTGAAGAAAAAAGTAAACTAAGTGCTAATGAAGCAGAGCTCCTCTGAATCATAATTCAACATAAATAAAAAGGTCAACTCTGAGCTTATGTTTGCTGAAAATCATATTTTAATAATCATAAACTTGTAAATACATTTTTGGATTCCCTCTTTTATGGTTAATTTTCTTGTTGAAGAAAAACCTCCAAAAGTAAATACAAGTTAAGCAGTACATCTTGATTTTCACACTTTCACTAACACAATCCATTTCTCTCCTTCCTCCATCAGAGGGGAAGTATCGAGCTCTTAAACTGGAGTTCTCCCTCCCTCCCTCTACCTATGCCACCATGGCCATCAGGGAGGTCCTAAAGCTGGACACGAGCATCAAGAAACAGACACAGCTCAACACGACCTGGTTTAATTAAGACTGAAAACACGCTCTGGTATAAAGTGGACTGCTGCTGCTGCCCAAAGCACCTGTCTACTGTGGCTACTTACTGTTGTGAGTGTTCTTAAGTGTACCACTGTATGTGTGTGTTTGTGTGAGAGGGAGCAGTTTTGGTTCTGTGCGAACCCAAATATAGTTTCTTTGTACAAAGAGCAACAATTTATCACTCTTTGACTTTTTTATTTTAAATTTAAATTAAAATGATCTTTTTACTTGCTCTGAAGTATCTCATCGCTGGAATGACACAGCATACTTTGGCAATGATTTCAGTGAACCACGCGCTGTCAGGCTGCTGTTACATCCAGACTTCTCTGGCTGCACAGAGTACTCAGCATCTCCTTTTTGTACAGAAATATGAATTTGTTATTTTTTAAGTCTGAGCTGTATGTGTGAATTGAACAAAACTCTTAAAAACAGGAATTAAAAGTGTTGAGTTTGTAGTTCGTTGTGTCTGTTATAATTTCTTGGTGAAAGATAAAACTAAAACAAGTGAAAAGAAGAGGATTTTTTTTTTTCAGAATTACAGACAAAAGCAAATTCAGCTATGACTATGAAACTAAAAATTTTTTGGCAGGGGTCCATCTTTTGCACATAAAATTTGTAATTTGTACATGTTTTTTTAGAGTTACTGACCTTTACAACTAGAAAAGTGATTTTGTTTTTTGTCATTAAAGTCATTTTGTCATTTGTCATATTCCACTGCAAGTTTAAGCCATGGTCAAACACTGTAACACCGAGTTAGTAATGTTGGTGTTACGGTGTGTTTGACCATGGCTTAAATTTATGCTGGAATATCCCTTTTAACCTCAATAACAATCCAAGTTAAGACCCAGTAAAGTGGTTTAGGATAAATGTAGGTGCAGCAGTAGCAAAAACCCAAACCATTGAACAGCTATGTTGTTTAAAATCTCACAACGACCCCCAAAGAAAAACTTTCCCACAGGGGAGATGGGGCCAGGAACCAGTGTATGATTACAGAATATACAGTGTCTCCCTCTGCTGGCCTTTTGAGGCAACTGTCCTGAAACTTCAAGATCTGAGATATACAGGATTTTGGGCTCTTGTATGTCTGCTGCCAGTGAAAACAGACTCTGTGAGGCAGACCATCTGACACTTTTGGAAATGTTGGCTAGTCGGTGGAGAGAGAGAGACTCTTGGACAAATTGTGTTTACTAATGTCTTACACCCTGTGGCTTTATCTGCTTTATGCTAGTTTTTTTATCCTTTTAGGGTTTTTATACAGTCTGAAGCACAATTAGAGATATCCCTTAACTGTTAGTTGCTGTCAAATGATAAAACAAAGTAGTTTACCTGTCAGCTATTTGAGATCCAGATGTATCTATATGAAAGAGAGAACCAGTGGAGATACTGACAAACTCACTCCAAAACTGACCAACAATAAAACGGTCAAATTATTCCTATTTACTGACCATAAAAAAAACATTTTTATTACGAACATGCTACGATGTTTAGTAAATGCAAGTTCAGAGCATTATAAACTCTTAAATGAAAAGTCAGAATAGTGATATGTGCTTCGTCTGTGCAGTGCTGCAGTTCAGAGGCTGCATGTGTAAATGTAAAACAGCTGATCTAATCGGTGTGATGAACAAAAGGCCTACAGAGGCAGGTGCAGTTAGAACCCAGTCAATAAAAGAATACATACTGTACACACATGAAATTAAACAAAGGGAGTAAGTTGAATTGGCATTTTAATTTGTGTTTGTATAATTTGCTGTGTTGTCTACTGTGTATGCAGAAAACTAAATCGTAACAATGTTTGAATAAGTAAATAAATGTCTAAGAAACACTCAGGAAAGAAAATATTTGGGTCCTGGTGACGGACTTAATTTAAAGAGAACAAAGACTAGTCTGTCGTCACTTGTCTTTAAGTTTTATTCACCCCTGAAAATTGAAAGATTCAATACATTGAGTAAAAGTGAATTAAAGGATTAGTTCTGATATTGACTGTAGTTTTGTACTCTTCACTAAAGAAAAGAAAAGCCACCACCTTTAAAAGACCATTAAGACTAAGAATAAGAAGAACTTCATTTATCCTTGAAGGAAAATTCAGTAACCAGGCATTATGATGGGTGCAGGGCACTGTTAGGACTACCAGGAGGTACACAGTTGTCGTAAAAAACCTGGAACGAGCTGTCGACGTATGTCACCTTCTTCAGAAAATCCTCAAGCTGCTGCACCGTCATCTCCTGCACCTTATTATTCTCCCTGTCGTTGAGCCCATGTGCTGCAAACGCTGGAAACTTTGAGCGCTCCGAGTACGGCGCATTGTGGTCAAAATCGACACAGCAGTAAGCTGACCAGAGGTATGTGGGGATGCCTAGACGATCCATGTTGTGGCGACGAATAGTGTGCCCCGAGGTGGTGACCCCTGTGACCACGTAGGCTGTTCCTCGGCAGTAGTTGTTGAGTCGCCTGCGGATGGTGTGTTCGTGTTTTTTCCAGGGGCCGATGTTGAACTCTCTGACCTGAGGGACCACGTTTGTCAGAGTGTAGGTGGCAGCTTTGTCATCGGGAAGGGCCTGGTGCTCGTCTGGATTGAGCTGACCCCGCTCAAAGATGACACTGTTGGAGTAGTCTTCGAGCACAGCCTGAGCATCCTCAAAACTCTTGTGCAGGTCTTCTGAAGGGAGCTGCTGCATCTCTCTGGGGCCTGATACTGTAGAGAGCTGTCAGGGGAACAGAATCACAGTGTTAGAGAAAACACACATTCATAATAAAGCTAAAGAAATGTTGTTTGCACCCTTACCTGAGGCTCGTACATCCAGGGCACATCAACCTTCTTGGAGCCATCTGAGCGTTTGAAGGTGTACGCAGAGTAAACAGGAATGTGACTGTAGATGTCATACAGGGTAAAAAATCGTGGTCTGCCCGCGTAGAACTGACAGATCTTCTTCAGGGGCTTTTCTTCCAGTCCTTTAGGTGGTGTGCCCATGTAGAGGAACTGTTTACACTCAGGTGAGATGTTTTCCTGCACCTCTGCTACAGCCATCACAAAGACAAGGAGACAAACGAGTATTCGACCTGTTCTGGAGACAGTCATGGTGACATTTGCAAAATGACTCCTCCGTGTATTCAGTTCAGTGCTGTTCGGTCATGAGGACTTTGGCTCCTCTGTGCTTCATACCATAGCAGTCGTATTATGCAAAGTCTTATCATTTTTCCTTCACCAGTAGTGAAACCATTACCATGTTTGAAAGAGACATTGACCAGCACCATCATCAACAGAGGCACGGGAAAGTTTAGAGACCTTTAAGGGGAAATTAATCTGAATACTTTCATATATTTAGTAAAATATAATCTGTGGAAAAAGATACCTTAGTTCTTGTATGGTTGCCAGATGCTCAAAGTGCTGTTACAGCTGCAGGGATGGCCAGTGATGCTATGCCCCAAACCCCCTTATACCTGACGTGGCCTCCCTAAATTTCTTAACTAGGACGGGATTTTTGTCCTGACAGAGACAGAGTTTGTGTTGAAATTAGCTGATAGTAGCTTTCCTGTATTTCAGTGCAAATTATTATCTTTTCTTGATACTTTATATTGAAGTACTTGAGGTCAAACATCATCTTTTCCACCTGTATGCATGGTGTAGTCCATGTGATATGCAGGTAGAGGCCAAATACCCACTAGGAAAGTATGCAAAGATAGGTAACAACGTCAGTTCTGACTGAAAATCCACAGTTGTTCATGGTAACTTGTAACTTTTTAAATTTTATGATATCTTCACCACTCAGGACATTTTGAAGGACCTGTCATTGAAAAAAAGGTGAAGTATTGAGTAGTGAGTGCTGATCTTTTAAAGTCTGACCTCTTTAGAGACGTCAGAGTGCTCCGTAGATCTGTCCCAACTGCTCAGCTACAGTTTTACTCTCAGTGTATTTACTCTACCTTTTCTTCCTTTGTGTGTGTGTGTGTGTGTGTGTGTGTGTGTGTGTGTGTGTGTGTGTGTGTGTGTGTGTGTGTGTGTGTGTGTGTGTGTGTGTGTGTGTGTGTGTGTGTGTGTGTGTTTACCAGCATGATTGTCATGAGAGAAAAGACTGAGGAATGTTTCTGGAAACATCTTGTTTCCATATCAACAGGTTGATGGCAGCATGACCCCTCTACCTCAGTGGAAACAAACACTTCCTGTTTACTATTTGAGCATCTTCCCTGCTGTTTACACGATGACCCCACAGTGGGTACGGTATCTTTCTCTCTGCTTGGAATGACAAAACTAGGGACCAAACTGTCTCTACAACTTTAGCTTTAGTGAAGGTGAAGATGTCAACATGAGTTTTCTCTGTGTTCTGATTTTGTGTCTGTAGATCTCAACCTAACTCTGCTGAAGTAGCTAAGGCAAAGAAGCAGACCCTATGGCTGCCTCTCAAACAGCTGTGATGTGGCCGTTCTTAGTAAGCCAAAGCCATACCCTTGTTTATATGTAATTATGAAGAACTCATAAACGTATCATCCTTGAAATGAATGAGTTACGGGGCGCTGCTGCCCCAGCAGACCATAATCAAAAGCCTCTTGGGTTTGACTCTCACTTTTGTCTCCTTTCCTGCATGTCACTCCCTGTTCTCTCACCTGGTTTTAACTTTCCTACCCTGTCAAACTAAAGACTATGGGTTATAAAACACATAGAAAACACATAAAAACCCTGTGTCACATGTTTCGATAGCAAGAATCAAGACAAGCTATTCAGATCAATCCTGATTTTGTAATTTAACATTAGAGAGATATTCCAGCGTAAAATAAATTTAGGGTCAAACACACCTTAACAGAAACCCCCTCGAGAGATGAATGTTGCCAACCGCTTGCCTCTCTAGTTATACCAACTTTAGTAACGACCGCACGATAGCAATACACAGCGGTCTGAGGAGCAAACCTCAACCAAAACGCCACTCTATAGCCACAAATAATGCTCAGAACAGCACCTAACTTCATTAACAGTACATATAGGGTCCTGGCCATAGTATTAGCCATCAAACATCTTCTTAGCTTTGCCTGATTTCTTAAGCAAAAAGACTTAATACAACTCACCTACTCTCTTCCAGCAGCAGCTTGTTTGTATGCTGGAATATCCCTTTAAGTGTTATTAAGGCTTCCTGAACATTTGTTGCTGTACCTCAAGCACTCATGGCCCCGTGGTTTTTGGCATTGACCTTGTATTTTAACGGTGAATGTTGCCATTTGCTCTGTGCGTAAGTTGAACCAAATTTGAATCACGTCTTTCCTTTTGTTTTTACTTTTTATGAAGTTGTGGCACATGTAGACGTAAAAATCGGACTGAATTGCACCGATAAGCACAGGATCAATGCTGTTGTCACCTTATCCACTTTGTGATGCAGTAGTGGACAGGTTTAATGTCTATGAAAATCAGTGAAAACATTCATGCAGGATAGATGAGACAAAATAAGACAGAAGGATGACTTATTACACTGTGCAACACATTTAATGTCTTTTATGTTTATCTGCTGCCTCATTGTAGTGAGAGACAACATGGCTGTGGGTTTGGATCTGCTTTCATCTGAAACCTGTCAGTATTGTTCTTTCATACTCCAGGTGTGTACAGAATAAAGCTCTAAAGGCCTTTCAGGGTTTATAATACATATGAAGAGCTGCCTCAGATACATTCATCCCTCTTCTCTTTTAGTCCTATTGTGAACACCAGGGTTGTCGGCTGCTGTTTGCTCTGTGAGTGGGTTGTTACACTGACTACACACTGTGCGTTTGAACATGCAAACTCTGAAAAAAGAAAGAGTGAGTTTGTGTTGACACACATTTGTGGACCCTGTGTACATTTGGATTTGTTGTGTCTCTGAATAGAGAATAAGGGGAGATCTGTTTGTGTGTCTGTTTCAGTGTCTCGGGTTCGTGTGTGTTTGTGGGGGAGGGATGTGTGGTGTTATTGTGTCTCTCGGGGAGGTATGTGTGTTTGTGTTGAGAGGAGGGGTGTTTGCAGGTCTCGTAGCTGTCTGCTGGGGTGGTCCGGTTCGAGAAGAAGGGGGAAAGAGGGTGTGCGTATGGGAGGCCTTGCTATATATACAGACTTCAGACGGAGACACACCTTCCTCAGCCGGAACAGTCGAGAGAGACGCACAGAGACAGTTGGAGGGATGATAGAAAAAAGAGGATGAAAGTCATTTTTAGCATCTGGCTGAAAGATTTTGTCCCCGCTGGTGAAGAAGCCTGTGGTGAGTACTTGAGGACTGAGACCTAATTCAGAGGATGTAACATATAGTTAATGCACTCAAAATGTGCAATTTGATTATGACTCTATGTGACTTTTTTCAAGTATTGCTAATTATGAAAAATCTGTGCAGAAACAGGTGTGTCAGACCTTTTCTTTGAAACATTGTCTCAAAACATTTCAGAAGCTGAGAACTGTTTTTGCACTGTGTGAGATTTTAATCTCTTATACTTCCTGATGTTTGTGTTTAACTTGACTTCACTTATTCACATTGAGTAAAAATGACTTTAATAATTTTTTTTATCAGGCAGTCTTTGTTTTTTTCTTGAGGTCGAGAGCAGGACGTCCTTTAAATAGACTTCTAGCTCAGTCAAAAACACAGAAAATTACATATACAAACAGTTTACATTCACTTCTGACATTTTTCAGTTGTTTATTGAATGTTTAAAACATTCCCTGAAAAATTCCTGACTTTAATTCCTGAAATAAGACGTGTGTGGCTTAACTCTGACTTGTCATTACAATCTGTGCATGTGCAGTATTTACTCTTTTCGTGTGTGCTGCAAACGTTTAAGAACCTCACAGTGATTTTTTCAAATTTACAGACCCTGTTAGCTGAAGGAGTGGAGCTGAACTAGAGAAGAGTTCATGAACTCTGGCCCTGAATTCTTTATTTTACACATCTCCATCTCTGCACGAGTTTACAGAGCTTGACTTGAATGGCCGGGGATTTTGTCGAGACTGACACAGAGATGTCAGACTTCCTCACTTCCCCATCTCCGTCTTCTTCTCCGTCTCCCTTCTTCCACTGCGACTACAGCGATTGGTCTCCCTCCTTCTCCATCATCCCCTCCATCTACCTGCTGGCCTTCCTGGTTGGTTGTCTTGGCAACAGCCTGGTGCTGTGGGCCTACCTGGACAGAGCTGAGGGGAGGGGAGTGAGGACCAGGGGATTGTTCTGTTGCACTCAGCAGTTGAATATTAACAGCAGATGCACCCAGGAGTCATTTTCAAAGAAAATCAAGGAAAAGTCTGGATCTTCGTCAGGAAAAAGCTGCAGACCTTCTTCACACTCCTCCTCCTCTTCCTCCTCTTATCCTCCCTCCCTCCCTCGCCCGTCCCGCTCCCTCACAGACTCCCTGATAGCCAGTTTAGCCTTGGCTGACCTCTGCTTCCTCGTCACCCTCCCTCTGTGGGCCGTCTACACAGCCATGGGCTACAACTGGCCTTTCGGGCAACCACTCTGCCAGATCAGCAGCTTCCTCACTGCCCTCAACATGTACGCCAGCGTCTTCAGTCTGAGCATGCTCAGTGTGGAGCGCTACTGGGTTCTGACAGGACGGCGGCACTCCAGCCACCATCATCCCAAGCAGAGCTGCCCCAGCAGGGTGGTGTGGATACTCGGAGGGGTGTGGGTGCTGGCTGGGGTGCTTGCACTTCCTGGTTTGCTGCTGCGCTCTGTGAAGGAGGTGGAGCTAGACTCTGAATCTGAGGATGATTGGCAGCTAGAGGAGAGCCACCCCACTGACTCTGGATCAGTCTTCCTCTCCTGTCAGATGGATTACTCCATGCTGGTTGGGGCAGAGATAGAGGAGACAGAGAGAGAGAGGGTGGAGATGATGTGGGCGGCGGCTTTGAGTCTTAAATCTACTCTAATTGGCTTCCTTCTTCCTCTTGTCGTCCTCTTGGTCTGCTACTGCTCCTTAGCCCAGCTCCTCAGCAGGCATTTTGGACGGGGGCCTCGTCCTGATCGCAGGCGCCAGCGGAGACTCCTCAGGGTCATCATCTCATTGGTGCTGGCCTTCTTCCTCTGCTGGCTGCCTCTGCATGTTAACAAGACGGTGTCCATGCTGCTGGAGTTTGGTTTTATCCCATACTCCTGCTCTTTAGATCAGATCCTACTGGCTGCTCAGCCGTATGTCACCTGTTTAGCTTATCTCAACTCCTGCCTCAACCCTCTGCTGTATGCGGCCTGTGACCCTGCATTCAGGAAGAGATGCAGAGGAGCTCTGTTCATGCTGTGCAGGAGAGGAGGAGAGGGAAGAGAGGGAAAGAAGGAGGAAGGTGAGGAGGAGAAAGAGGAGAGGAGCTCAGCTTTTCCCACAAGAACACAGGAGGAGACTGCAAGAACAGAGGGAGTGGAGGAAAGGGAAGGAGTGGAGGAGGTGGGGAGAATGATTGCTGAGGCCACATGAACCCCAACCAAACACCTCAAGATGAAACTGTTTCAAATCACAGTGTGTGACTCTAAACCAGTGTCATATTTTCTCCCCAGTGTTGATGGAAAAAACGTACAAAGGAACATACAACCCCAGTTTATAAGAGTTAAGACACTGTGTAAGATTTGATGAAAACAGAGCAAGGTCAACACATCGAACACTGAAATTGAAAAATGCTTTTGTTTGATAAAAAAGATATGCTCATATCAAATTTCATGCCAGTAATAAGTTTCAAAACACTTTGGAAAAGACAACAAAAATTCAAAATAGTTGTGAAATGGCAAAAAAACACCATCTCCCAGCTAATCTGCTTGACTAAATACAGAGAGGGTACTCCACAGAGGCTGTGTAAAGATGGGAAGATGTTCACCACTCTCTGAGAGACTGTATGAAGAAATGGTTCCACAATTCCCGATGATTATCCCTGAGCTTAAGTGGCAAAGAGTCTAAGGTTTTAATCATCTTTTTGACATGATATTGTTGAAAGATTCAGAGAATCTGGAAAAATCTCTGTACATAATGAACAAAGACCAACACCATATTGGATGGCTGTGATTAAAAACAGACATAGTTGTGTAGTGGAAAAAACATCTTTATTTTTCCCACAGAAAAGATGATGCCACTTTTATAAGATTGTGAGACAGGAAATGGTCTTTTGCCAAACCAAGAGCTCTCATGACATTTGATCAGATTTTTTGTTTGTTTCTTTCTTGATAATTTTGTACCAAATATTTACCCTGAGATGTTTATTGACTTGTGTTGCACTCTTATTTTTCTAATAAAAAGCAGAATTGTCTGTTTCAAATAACAATATGATGACTCAAGATGGCTAGATTCCAATATAACTCGGGTTAATCTCTTACAACATCATCCTTTCAAATGCTATGATAATTTTTAATTAAATTTCTTTAATTCTTTAATTTCTTCTTCTTTAATTTCTTTGATCATTTCCAAACAACAGGGGGTGACTCAATTTACCCTTTGGGTCAACTTACCCCACTCTCCCCTATATCCAGGATAGGGCTTTTATTTTGTGTGGAGCAAGTACCTGACTCCATCCAGAAGATGGCGCTGCTAGATCGTCAAGCAGGTTGACAACCTTTGTAAAAGTCAGAAGTCCGTTTGATCCACAGAGCATGCTGCTGTGTGCAGAATATTACTGGACTGTTGTATGCAGTTGTACTTGTACAGCTATCAGAGGTGCCAGCTTTATAGCCATTTTTAATTTTATGTATTTGTTTTTTCAACCACAGTTAACTGTATAGTAATAAGTGCACGCTGCTTTAAGGGCTGGAAAAATGATGAAGACGGACACAGCACTTATTTACGATGAAGAGATGACCAAATACAAACTGCTCTGGATTGAGTAAGTCCATGATTTTTATCATGTGAGGGGGATAACCGGCTTTGTGGCGCTAATGGCTAGCTAGTTAATAAACAGTCATAAAACCCTGAGCAACATATTTCGAGATGGATATGATGTTACACTTCAGTGATGTTGCCGTCTCTATTTTAGTAAACCTAAAGGTAGCTGGGGATAAACTACTGAGGTGGTTGAGTTTGTACAACATTTAAATGAAAGCTCATGACTGGAAGTTCAAACGGTGTCGTTGTTATGGTGCTAGGAACCGAAGTCCCTGATCGTTGTCGCAAGTCGGGTCGTTTAGCGAGGAGCATCCATAGTGTTTCGTTCACCTCGCTTTTGGAGGCAGAAAATAACCAACTTACTTGACACTTTGTCTTAAATATCTACCCCAAATAGTTTATTAGTTTGTTGATATTTGATAGTTTTTAATTTTCTTTAGAATTTTCTTTATCCTGATATAGTTTATCTATGTTTACACTGACTGTGCACATTGACCTATTTTAAGTTTTAATGCGAAATAATCACTGATACAAACATGAGCCATCCGTCTTTGAACAATGAGACACAAAGTTAGGATTACAAGATTTTTTTTTTTTTGTCTGCACTCTTTGTTAAACATATCAAGTTAATAAAAAACATAAAGATTAAAAGGAGACCTCAGTTGTCTGGATCAACTAAAAACACAAGATTTTAGCAGACGGACCAAGCTATCTGTCCATAACTGTTTTTAGGGTCTAAAATAATAGAAAATAAAATGTCTACATTGTGATTTTGTGAACTTCATTTTTAAAATATAAATTAGTATGTTCACTGATGCATGATGAAGCTTGAAAGAAGTCACACAAATGAGTGTCAACTGAATGGAGCTCTTAAGTATTTTTTGTTTCTCCAGCCCTGCATGTAAGATTGAGGTACCTGAGCGTCTGACTGTGAGCCACGAGGCGTTAGTGAAGAACGGCCTGGCTGACCGCTGTGTCTCTGTACCTGTTCGTGAGGCGACAGATGCAGACATTCTGCTGGTTCACAGGTCAGTGCTGGGCCAGTCCCCTGTTTTTGATCTTTTCTTAAGCCTGAAATAACCAGAGTCACTTGACTGTGTTTACTTAACAGTGAGGAGTACTTGGAGGCAGTAAAGAAGACCCCAAACATGACTTTGGAGGACTTGAAAGAGTTCACCATGCAGTATGGTGATGTCTACTTCCACCCAGTTAGTCAAAATTGTTTATGGCTAATCTGCAGTTTGTATAACTCATCTGTATCTCATGTTGGTTTTTCATTCATGGTCACTTCTTTCTTTCTTGTTTTGCTCTAGAACATCTATCACTGTGCCAAACTGGCTGCAGGTGCTTCTCTACAGCTTGTGGACAGTGTGATGACAGGGAAGGTGAGGAATGGCATGGCTCTGGTCAGGTGAGGTTAAAGAATTATTCTGATAATCAAACCAGTGCTTGGATGACTTAAGTCAAAATCTCTCAGTTTTGCAATAAGGACTACTTTACTTGTGATATTAAAGATTTGGATTTTTAGTCTTATGTATTGAAAAGTTGATGTCTGTTACTGTCCCAGCTGGATTATAGGAGCTTGATTATGGTGGTTGAGGTGTAAACAAACCTTGCAACTGTGAATATAACTGGCACAGAAAACTCAATCATCCATAGTCACAATATGTTCATGAATTCTTTATCATTGTTTACAGACCACCAGGACACCACAGTATGCGCAGTGCTGCTAATGGATTCTGTGTGTTTAATAATGTGGCCATAGCAGCCCGCTACGCCAAGCAAAAACATGGAGCTGAAAGGTAACCTTTTACTTTTCTGGTTTATTCCTTCAGAAATTGTAGTAGTTCTGGCTCAACATATTTTAACTTTTAGTGAACATTTTTTTTGTCTTTTTCAGGGTCTTGATAGTGGACTGGGATATACATCATGGTCAAGGTGTGCAGTACTGTTTTGAAGATGATCCGAGGTGAGTCTTGTCTAAAAGAGGGAGCCATGACTTTGACCTTTTTAAAGGTGTTTTCTGACACATTAAACTCTTCAAACCATGTATCACTCTGCACAGTGTGCTCTACTTCTCATGGCACCGCTATGAGCATCAGAAATTTTGGCCTCAGCTGAGAGAATCAGACTATGACAGTGTTGGCAAAGAGAAAGGAGCAGGATTCAATATTAATGTACCGTGGAACAAGGTCAGTCACGACAGCAATATCTACTTTACACCAGAAGTTATAATTAATCCCTTTGAATTCTCTGTGTCTGCTTTATCTTTGTTCTTTCTTTGGTGCTGACTATAAAATTCAAAGCATGTAATGTATAAAAGTAACCAACACTCGAAGATACTTTTGAGGCTGAAACAAAAACATGTTCCCTGATAGTTTGCATTTATAATGTCAAATGATAAACCGATGAAAAATGTGCAAAAATGTTTTCTTATAAAGACCAACTGTGACATTTCAGGTGGGAATGAAGAACAGCGACTACCTTTCAATCTTCTTCCACGTCCTTCTTCCAGTTGCGTATGAGGTCAGACAATTTTGAGGAAACTCACATTTTAGTAAGACTGTTGATGTATTTGTGATTTTTTTATATCAACTTCTGTTTCTTTGTTGCAGTTTTGCCCAGATCTGGTCCTAGTGTGTGCAGGATTTGACTCAGCTATCGGTGACCCAGAGGTAAAAGAAACAGCTGTGATTGGGTCTTCTCCTTTTTTGCATGCCAGTCCTGCATGCACTGGTATGTAATGAGTAACAAGTGCATAATCAGTTGTTATTCAGAACCACAGCTCTAATATGACCAACTTTTAAAATGTTTATCAAAGCTCCAACTAGTCTAATTGTTCAAACCTCCTATGAAATAAACTGATATTCATATTGATGTCTTTTCATGATGGTTGAAAGCAAACCAGTCAGTGACAATACTGGCAATTACAATATAATATATATTTTTTTACCATGTGAGCTGGTAGGTGTCAGCCAAGCAGCTGAAGAAACAGGCAGGTTCTTATAATTTGAGCTATAAATGATAAGTTTGACTTTTAAAGTCTTCTGGATGAGATTTTCAGTCAAAAGTCACGACTTAAATATGAAGAGGACAACATTAACAAAAACTGCTTTGTCTACAATAGATTGATGCAAACCTCAAGTTCCTCACAGCAGCTTGAAATACACATCTGCAGACATTTAATTGTGATAATGGGGTGATAAAATAAAGAGTCTTTGTCAAATTATTGGAACAACATGGGATTTTTGTTTTCAGGGTGAAATGTGTGCGACCCCGGACATCTTTGCCCACCTCACTCACCTGCTGATGAAACTTGCAGGAGGAAAACTTTGCGCTGTTCTTGAGGTAAGGCAACACATCACAGAGATCACTTATCATGAACCAAAACATATAAGATCACTTCATGAACCTCTTCACATTTAATCACTGCCTTACTATTGTGGATTTAGTTTTTTTTTCTCTGTTAAGCATCCCTTAACTGTTATTTTTGATTTATGATGTGTGCATTGTTTCTGCAACTTTTCATGAAGCTGGCCTGTTAAAGTTGAACATGTGCTTCCATCATTTCAGGAGAATATTCAGTAGTAAAAGTTTAATTGTGTAAATGTTTTCCAGGGAGGATACAACTTGACTTCCCTCCCCCAGTCTGTTTGTCAAACAGTTCAAACTTTACTGGGAGATCCTGCACCTCGCCCTACAAACCTTGATGGACCCTGTGAAAGGTCTGTCCTCCCTCATCAGCTTAAAGTTTGTCTGACTTTATGTTGTATAAATGTGATTTATAATTACAGTATATTCATTTTTCTCTTCATAGTGCGCTGGAGTCTCTTCACTGTGTCCGATCTGCTCATAGGCGGTACTGGTCCTGCCTCAGACATGCAGGTAGTTATTAAATCATGATGTTGACCAACACAAAGCACAAAATGTTTGATCTGGGCAAATCTGTTTCATCACCCTCTTCCCAGCTGTGTTACCCTCCTCTGAAATCAGCACAAAGCGCATTAAATTAGCAGAAAAAGAAGATGAAGAAAAGACTGAGAATGGAGAAGAGGAGAAACAGGTTGAAGAAAAGGTGTGGCCAGAGCCCCCAAAACGTACCCCTCCTCAAATCCATACAGCTGTAGTCCTCCCTGATGATGTTACCTGCCCAGACAGATGTAAACGCTTCCGATCAGACGAGGAGTCTAACCCAGAAACTGTCAACAAACTCAGGTAGGAAACTGGACAATTAAAAGTAGCATGGGAATGATTTATTCTTGGAAGATTAGCAACTGAATCTACTTCATCATGGTTTTTCCACAAACAGGGAGAACCTCCTCAAATCTACAGATGACAGCAGCGATCTCACAGTCCTGTCCGGTCTTATTACCCTCGCACAGAAGATGGAGCAGAATGAGGTACAGCCTGGATCATTCTGTTCTGTTTTTGTGATATGGGTTTTGCTTAGCAGACCTGCCTGCATGATCTAACATTATTATGTTTGATGACTTCCTCTCAGATCTGTAATGGCTTGGCCTTAGTCCGTGATGTCTCCATGGCGATGATGTGCCTTATCCAGCACGCTGTAACATCCCCCAGCAGCCGGTATACCAGTGTTAACCTAATTCATGCGTACATCACCAGGGTAGAAAAATGAATCAGTTGTAAAAGTAAACAGCATTTTTCCTCTCATACTATCTGAAGATGAGTTTAAATCTTTTTCAGATTCAACTCACTTTGTTCTTTGACAGGACTGTCACAGGACAGGACTAAAACTACTCTCTTGTTTATGCCCCAAAATAAACTGCAGACAAGAGATTTACAGCTTAGCAGACAGTGTGGAAAATCAGATTGCCAAAATTCTTTAAATTATGTGCTATATTGGCCGTGAGCTCAATAGTTATGTTTCCATATTTTATGAAAAAGGCTATTTTGTTTTCCAGATTTCAGTCTGATTGAGTGTGGCTCTCTCCTCATGCAGGGTTCTGGTTGTCTGTGTTGGAGAAACAGTGGTCCCAAGTCTTGTCACTGATGATGGGTGATTATCTTTCCTTCTCCCTGCAGTAGACTTTTGAAAAAAATGGAAATTCACTCTTTTGAGCCAGTACAAACACATTTATATTTTTTCTTCTTCTTCAATTTTTAGAAAAACACTTCTGGTGCAGTTTACAAGCAAGAGCAAAGAGGAACAGACCAGCAAATATAACGTAACTGTCTGCCTGAAGAAGGTACTGTGTGTATTAAAGAAGTAGAAACTACATTTCAGAGGATTTTTCTGTGTGCTCACAAAGCTGCTGGATGTCATTTATGTTTGCCTCTCCTTTGTAGTATCAAGACAAAGTATTAAGTTTGGCCACCAAAACTGAATTATATCTTTGAATCTAAAGAAATAAACAAACCATTTACTTAATTTACATTTATTTAATATTGAGTGATGGATGGAAACACACTCTCCAGTTTTGTTTGTCCTGCTGCAGGGCTGCAGTGACTTGTCAGGGTTCACACAGGCTGTTCTGAGCCTCCTTCTACCTCTAGGATACGAGTACGACCCTAGTCTCGTTGTATTAGTTCGGATGGCAGATAGTGGTCTTTGTGACAGTATGTGGCAACAGCTGATTGGCCTGCTGCAGGGCCTGGCACAGGGACGGACACTGGTACTCATGCAGGTAAGCACTTAAATCATCCCTTAATGATACAAGTACTATATCATCCTTATTCTACGTCTTTGAATAATGGTACTATTTTTAATTTTAGGACACTGAGAAAGCTTGTGTTGGCGTCACAGCCTCCTCTCTCCATGGGGATGCTGCCCCCTCTGTGGGGAAGCTTCATGCACCTCTACCTGAGGATGTGGAGGTGATGGAGAGGCTGAGAAACACATTGCAGGTGGACTGGAAGCTCCTGCAGACTACAGGTGAGTTCATGGGAGAAGTGTCACATATGAAAAATGGCATATTATCAGGCATCCTTGGACTTTTCTGAGTCCTGCTAACTGCAATTTTCACCTCCTGACAAACAGCACCAGAAACTGGACGAGGAGATGAACACTGAAGATGATTTTGCTATTTTCTGTAGAAAACTAATCTGAATAAAATTTTGTATATTTGAACTAACTTTTTTATTAAACATATACTGCCCTGAAATTATTTGTCAGGCCTTTTTTATTAAATTTGTAACAGCAGTGCAAACAGATTGCAGTTCATTTTGCCCTACTTGTGCAAACGTTTGTATTGTTTGATTTATGCAAAATATTGTGTGCTACAAGCTTTGCTTCCAGTATGTCTTTCCTCTCTTCTATATTTAAAACTAAAAGGAAGGGACATTAATATACTGAAATACATCAAATTCAAAAAAGTTGCAATTCAATAAAATGTTGATTAAAAACAGATTTTTAAGATTTGGAAATAATTTAAACTACGTTTAAAATAGTGCCAAGACAAGATAATCGTGTGCTGGAACTCCAGTTACTTATTCTATTTTATGGAAAACATTTTTATTATTATCTGATGCCACTAACACTTTCCAAAAACATTATGACAGAGACAACCAAACACTGAAGAAAGTCGAAGAATGCTTAAAAAGTACCTGTGAGAACATCTTCCATCTAACTAGGTCAACTTCTTTCTATATGACTCTAATAAAGGGGGAATTCTCAGAGGCAGAGTTTCTTAAAAGTAAAGATGGAGAGAGGTTCTCTAGGTGAGAGGTTGCACTAGCAAACAGTTCACCATTTCAGAATGACGTGTCTTAGTGTAAAATTGTCAGAATTGTGAGACTCTTGAAAGTCAACAAAAAGTTCAGAAAATCAAGGCTGATGGCGGTGATCTTTGAGCCTTTAGATGGCGCTGCATCAAATACATACATATCACAGTATGGGGTCAAAAGGTCATTGTTTAATTTCGCTTCGTAAACCTTTCACTGTGTCATTTGGTTCGGCCATGTAGCGCCTGCGTCGATATGAAGTTGAATTGGAGGATGCCGGTGTAGTGTTAGCCTCAGTTCAACTTCATATCGACTCAGGCACTACATTACCTAACCAAATGACACATTGAAAGGTTTACGAAGCGAAATTAAACTATAACCTTTTCACTTACTTCTTTGCTCGTCTTCTCGCCGTCGTCCTCTGTGCCTAGATCGTAAAACACAGGTGCATCATCATTATTGGTCCCTGGCAGCTCACTTCTGTTGTGGCTTTTTCTATTCACATCCTTTTATTTTCACAGTAAGTAACTTTTTTTTTCCATCGCCACTTTTTCTGCGTCGTCAACTTCCATTGTGGCTTTTTTATCTGCACTGTTTCTTTTTTATTTACAGCAGGCTTCAGTTTCTTTCTTTTTTTTATGCATCAGTAACTTCCGTTGTGACTTCTTTTTTTTTTTTTTTTTTGCATTCTTTTTCTATTTGCAGCAGTGGCGGTCCTCGGCCCCCGTAGCTGAGAGGTAAGCACGTTAAGAGAGGATTGTACTTGGACAAACACCTGTCTGTGTGCACATGACTGTGTATGGTACAGTCAGTTCCCTGTCTTGTCGTTAGGAGGCGCTGTGGGGTGTACCGCCTGTAAATCAGATGAAGCTATTACTCACATGTGAGTCATTTCATCCACGTTGATGCTCCGACCAACGCTCTTTCCTCTCGTGTCTGCTCGCGTGGGTCCGCCGGCGTGTGAATGTGTCAGTTTCCCGTCCTTTTCGTCGTGATTGGGTCAAACACCGGAGCCTGAATGCATCACAGGCAGGAGTGACATTATTAGCTCCCCCAGATACTGAGACAGCAACCGCTCAGACAGACCCTGAAAGATGTCTGGGACCGCACACACATCTGCGACCCTGCAGTCCGGGAAAATGAAAAAGGACGAATCTTTCCTCGGGAAATTAGGGGGAACCCTGGTGCGAAGGAAAAAATCCAAAGAAGGTAAGACGTTTTTGTTTTACTTTTTCAATATTTCTAATGTAACACAAGGCCTCTTGTTTGTTTTCCCTTGTGTTTCTGTCCATGGTGCTGCAATCACATGATGCACTTATTGAAATAGTCTCCTCTGGGACATCATGGGCACTTTAATCAAGAGCTGCACACATGATTTACAACATCTGTACACACATGACAGGGTTTTAAGTTAATGGTCTTATCTGTCTTTTACACAGACCTGGTTAGTATTTAAATCTATCTGATCAATTCTGGTATATTTTGAGTTTTAGTTATGATAGATGTCTCAGCTTGTAAGTGAATCAGAGGTCAGACAAAGCCTTTGAGTGCCCCCACAAGAATTCAACATGAGCTAATAAACAAAAATAGATCATACAGCCTGTGTGACTAGAGACAGGAATGCAAGGTGGTGATTAAGATAAAGGTGTAAGAGGATTAGTAGTGTGCCCACTGTTTGGCACCAAAACACTCTTTTTCTCTCAATGTCCCAGTTCTCTCTCAGTTCTCCAGCTGTTGTCCAGACTATTTTCTACCTTCCCTCAGGACAGTCAGTGTGTGGTCAAAGGGACAGCTGCAAGGTTTAACAACCAAGTGTGTGTTATTTGTGTGTGTCTACTGTGTGAGTGTGTGTGTGTGTGCTCACAGCCATGTGTTTTGGTCTCTATTAAAAGAGGTCCCCTCAGCAGGCAGACAAAGACAGCAACATTTTAGAAGACTTATTGTTTAAAATCTCATATTTAAACAGTTTGAATGCTGTTTTAAATAGAAATGGCTGATCTACAATCAGACAATCATCTACATCAACATGTGGATGAAAGTGTCCTCTTATATGACTTGCAGCTCCTTAACCACATATCTAATGAACATCATGGCATTTGTATTATCAAAGAAGAAAAGTGCTGAGGCAGTCATTAGAGAGTCCACTCTTGTTACCAAAACACACAAGTGACGATACATTTAAGAGGTAATTTAACTGATGTTAAATCCATGTGTAGAAAATAGATGTAATTGTTTAATTGCAGCCTACAGGGGATCTCACTGTTTCACTGAAGTTAATTAGGTGTTTTTCTACTTAAACAAAGAAACTGCAGACAGATTGGCCCTGTGTGCTCATTAGAAGATAATTGTGAGGTTTGGTGTAATGAGGTAATGAGAATAGACGTCTTCCTGCTGAAGCTTTTCTTAAAACTTCACTGAAACCCACATTTCTGTGACTCTCAAAATGTTGTCAAGTTTTGACATTCATTGAAAGAAAGAAAGCTGCAGGACTATGTTAAAACCCATTTAAAGCTATTTTATGCTCAACTAAAATCAGTCGACTGAACAAAAAATGCAGTGATTTAACTATTTCTTAATTACAAAATGTCAGACATTTGCTGATTCTAGCTTCTCTTGAGAACTTGCTGTTTTTATATCACTGTATTTGAAGATATCTGTGTTCTTCAGCCTATTTGTCCTTTTGGTTTCGAGAAGAAATCCACCCAGAGCTTGGATTTCAGTGTCAAAATAAGAGAGAAATCTTCGTTTTTTCTTTCTGCATGTTTTCCAACGTAATAAATCAACGCATGCAGGCTTTCTAGTCCATCTTCTCCAATAGACTTGGATATAATTTCAGTCTGAGTGAACTGAAGAACAAAAAAGTGAGCAAGGAGTTATTGATAAAAGTAGTGCAAATAATGTAACTTTGTGAGATCTGTGGAAAAATAAAACAAACAAACAAAGTGGAATGGACAGGGTAAGTGAATTTGATAAAAGTTTAATAGCTGAAAGTAACAGTTAGCTAACCATGATAAAATGGATGAAATTTCGAGCTTCTAACTCTTCAACATGGTGGTGCAAATTGACTTGAACTTTAGCACTATGATTTGTTCTAAAAGTATATAATTTCATACACATTTTTGCTTAAATTTGTAGTTTTTCAATAATATGCATTCACTGTATGGAGGACAAAAAGCTTATTAGACCACAGTGCCCCTATGTGGTCGGAGCGGATAAAAGCTTAAATGATATGCAGTTTATTTTTTGAGACACAGGCTTCAATGGTGTTAAAATACTTAATCACTAATAAGTGCAACAGTACAGAAGAAGTAGGTAAAGTCTTTCTGATGGAGAACAACTTGTGGACCACACATTGCAGCTGTTGTGGTTTGTGTAACGTTTGGGTGTGGCTCTCTTATAAACTCTTTTAGGGAACACCCAGGAAAGACGAGTCACCACTGGAGAAGTTGCTGAATAATCATTATAGATGTAACTGGATTGCATTTCTAAGAAAAAGGACAAGATGTTTCTTAAACTGTGTGAGCACTCCTTAGCAACGACATGACGGACACGTTTCAGTGCAGCATTTAGAATTGAAATCATCACTGTTGTATCAGAAATGGGATGAGAAGTGTTTTCTAAAGGCTACTGGAGAAAAACACAAAGAAACTTTTACTTCATACAGCCCTGACTGTTAAAACTGCAGATCTAGTTTTCTGGGGTGTGTTATGTCCCTTTTTCTTTCTGTCTACTCTGATAAACTGAAAGGAAGCCTGCATTTCTCTGACAAGACACAACCTCCTCTGTCAGCCGCAGGACCGCAGTGATAGTGGAGGGAAAAAAAACACTGTTTTTGCTTTATAAGGACTTTAAGGAGTGTCATGTCACACTCTCACACTGCCTCTGTGTTATCTAGGTGAATAGAGTCTTTTACTGTCTGAAAATACAAAAATACAGCTGAGATCCAAAGTCTTGAGATGGCAGAAAATAATAGTAAGTCATCTGTTTGTTGCCTTTGCTTTTTTTTTCTCCTTCACCTCTTTATTTTGTCATTTTTTAGCAAATCACAAAGAAATAGATTGATGCGTTAATTAATATATTAAATGTTATACACTTTGAACAAGTACAGCTTTACATAACATGGATAAAAACATGATATATCGTCAAAACTATCCCTCCTTATCGATCACATTCTGGTGTTTTTAGGTTAGCTTTTGCGAGCTTTAGGATGATATTTCTAATTGTAAAGTTAATTGTTTTGACTTCAAAGATATTACATGAAAAGTAAAATTAATATGTAAGATAAAGTGATATTGAAAACCACTAAAGAGGCTTAAAGCTGGAAGAATAATTCAAGCAGCATTTATGCACTTAATAGTTAACAACTGGCGAGTTGATTTTGATTTGGAGCCCGTTCAATAACTGATATTAATCCATGATTTCAGACTGAGGAAATTTCTGCTTATAAGAAATACAAAAATATTTATTTTAGTTGGCACTTAATTGGCAAAGCCTCTCCTTAAATTTGACTTGCAACTTTAAATTTTCAACTTAAATATATAAATACATGATATTTTCAAGTCACAATATAGTTGTGAACATGAATAAGATCCTAAGAAAAATGTGTGCTTTTGGGTGTGTTTTTACTTTGCAGCCTCATGTCTTTATTAGACTTGTTTTAAGACTCACAACGGTGTTAAGTGTAAAAAAGTGACATTTAAATTCTCTGACTTGGAGCCTAAAGGGGGGTTAAAAAGTGTAAAAGAAATCGTTAACAAGAGAAGAAGAAAGCAGGAGGACATCTCCCTCAGGAACAGATTGTCATGGAGGTGAAGTTGAATATACAGAATATGGAGAAGATTTAGAGAACTTAAATATTTAATAAACAGAATTAATGCCACATAATAAGTCAAGAGTGGGTGCTGAGTTAAAGAGCTGTCATGGTTAATTCCTGCTGAACACTCCCCTGTGGAACAGTGTCACTGTCATCTCCTGGCTGCTCTTACTCACTGGTGCCGGCTGGTGTAAATAACCTGAGCTATATTTAAGGTCCACTCTGTCCTCTTCATGCTTCTGCATTATTTATATCCCCCTTGGTGCCACAGTGAATCTCCTCCCTTCCCTTGGGAGCAGCAGAACCAAAACATGGGGTTGATTTCAATCTGCTAAATACTCTTTTTTTATGGTTATTATTCTTTTTGCCTCTTAGGTACAAAACATCTCAGTATAGTTTGCTGGTGTCCCTTTCTTTTTCATTTGTTATACCACTGTGGAGCATTTTCCATAAGTCTTTGTTATGAAGATAAATGTCTATTACTGCAGGCTTTGGTTGGTATTCAATTAGAGTAATTCCATTAACAGCAATACAGCTACCTCCTGATTGATTATCCACCGCTGTAAAACAGATTAAAGGCTCCAGCCACATGCTCCCTGTCTGATCTACTAAAACTAGTCTGTTCCTTTAACTACATGAGAGTCTGATTTGACATCAAAAATTTAGCAGGGCTGTGATGAGGAGTTAAAGTTGCTTCTTTACCTGCCATGTGTCAGTGAGGTCCATCCAGGATCTCCCGGTTAACCATCCAGAGGTTGCTAGTTCTGTAGAGTTGACTTCCAGAGTGGTGTCTCCTTCCTGTCATATTCGAGCACGCGCATGCACACACACACACACTTGTCAGGATCTCCTGTAACTGGACCGTAGAGGTGGGGTGGAGGGTTGTGACAGAAATAAACACGTGATGACGCCCCCGCCACCGCTCGGCTCCACAGACTACGATTCACACACATTTACTGTATATACCGCATAAAGACACACTGCTCCTGCATTCTCTTCCTTCGCTCACTTCCATTAAAGAGAGGATCCGTAGGTTTTTTTATAGCGGGGACATGGCTGGGCTGCTGTGTGGGACCAAGAGGAAGAAACAAGGTAATTAGATGTTGGTTTAAAAGGAACTGAATCAGGGAAGTGGGACTTGTTACTACAGTTCACGACAGGTTAATATCCACTTTTGAGCTGTTTTGTGTGTTATCAGAACTTGTCTGATTGTTAATACTGCTGCTGAATGTGTATTTTACATTATGTCACTGTTGTGTTCCTGGACTGATAGTATTTTTATTCCCTATTTATTTCCCCCTGCCTAAATCTGCTTTTGTGGATTAGCTGCAACCTGTAGTTCCTCCATTTTTTTTACTGCACTTTACTTGACTGTGTGAAGTGCCAATGCAGCAGCAATGCAGTCAAATTCACACAGGGGGAGGAGGAAGCACAATTATGATGAAATGCTTTGAGCTGGCTCAGTAATTACGCTCCAGTAAGTGCTGATCTGTGTGGAGATCCAGGGCTCGAGCTCTTATGGGAGGGCTGGATCAGATAGGAAACCTGTAGGAACCGCGCCTCCAGGAGTAATTTGGTGTTTCCTCTGTCTTCAAGCTTTGAAGTCGAGATTTTGACCTGATTTCTCTTTGTATACAGTATGAACCTGGCAAGTTTATTTTCTGTGTATTTTTCTCACAGGCTTTTACTTTAAAAAAAGGTGCTTCATACACATCTTCGCCCTAGTTCTCCTGTCAGGTTTTATAAATAGTAAAATCAATAAAGTGATAGATTTAGGACATTGATTGGAGTCCAGGTTGTTGAAGGATGAGCAAAGTGAAATGCAGGACAGTAAAAGCGGTGTGGCCATTAGAGGAAGAAAGCCTTGTTATCCCTGGGGTCTCTCTAGTCCAAGGTGAAAGCATCTCAGCAGAAATAGATTTGATGCAAAGTCGGACTCAACATGTGTTTGTGTTTGGGACTTTTTGTCAATGTTGTCCTCTTCAACTGAATACCCAAATGCTTTTTGTCTTTAGACTAAACTCAGTTTTTAACCACATTTTGAGTGTAATGTAAATCTACATTGCACATTTTAAGTTCTCTACAAGCTGCTTCCTAAATGACTTATTCTGTTTGATAATGGAGTCTGCAGTGGAAAAGAAAGAGCCTCAAATGATAAGTTCAAAGTATGCAACACAAAAGTGGATAATTTTAGTGAATAAAGACAAAAAAGAAAATGATATCGACAGATTCTTTAAAGCTCCTCTGGGGAGTTTTGTACTTTGAGTGTCGGCAGCAGTGTTGAGAGGTTAGTTATGCTGAAGAAGCAGCCTTTGTCACTTTCCCTTGGCAGTTACTAGAAGCGGTTAATAAAATCAAAGTAACAAAGACAACTCTAGGAGTTTTTTCAGTCAACACTGCTTTCACAAGTCCAAGGCATAATTAGCAACTATGTAAGGGTTATATTTTGACCACTGGGTGTTCTAAAATCAACACAGACAGAAAGTTCCTCGCAGAAGCTTTAGAAATAACCAAGATTATGTGATACATATTCTTATGTTTATGAAAATAGATCAGCGTTATCTTCTCTTTGTTAAAACATACCTCTTATTTTACCCATAATGTGGTAAAATAGCAGTGTGATGTGTGTGTTTGATGTCTAACCTCGTCCATGTTAGAGATGAAAAGTTGGTCAGGGCAGTCTTCTTGGCTGAGTCAGGGATGATGTGGGTAACTCTTCGTTCATGCCCACCTCAATTAGGTATTTAAATAACGTTTCCTAAATTATAGTCGTATTTGGCAATAACGTCATGGCGTTATCTTATCATTTCCTTTTTGGTCTTGTTTGCCTTGTCTCACCTTGCTGTATCTTGTTCTTTAATTGTAATTGTTGTTTATTGCCGTGGTATTTCTTATGACCATTTCTGTGGGATTCTTGTGCAATGAGTGTAATGTGCGTGGGTTGTGTGACAGTGTCTTTGTAAGGTCAAGTACTTTGTGTCATCAGTTTGCAGCTTCATGTACAGCTCTTGGAGTTCAAGACAAATTTCCCTAAGAAGACAATAAAGTGTATCATTATCATATCGTTATCGTATTGTATCATATCGTATCATATCGTAACGTAACAATACCCTCAACACTCCTAAGTGTGAATTGGACATAGCAACCTGCTCACGATACATAATCCCAATAGTCACAGCTAAAATCCAGAGAGCTCTCTCTAGCTGTTGGTTCAAAGATAATTTTAGTGATTTTAAAACTATTCGTCCATGCAGCTGAAGAAAAAGTTCCTCGATTTGACAGTTCATACTGCAACCATATAAATGATTTATCAGGCTACACATGTACAAATTAAGTTAAAACTGGATATTTCCATTCAAAGTTAAATCAAAGTAGTTATGTTTTTCTTTTTAGTAGAGGTATATACGATATATAAGGTCCTCTCTATGACTTTTCTGATGGTATTTTCCTTTCTCTCCTGTAACACTCCCAAAGCACACGCTGTGGAGTAGTGTGTGGTTGCTTCCAGTCTGTTTTCCATCCTCCCAGCTTCTTCTCTCTGCTGGTCAGCCATTGACCACAAATCTAAGTGTGTGTGTGCTCTTCAAATATGTTAAAAATAACATTGGAAAAATCCCCCAAGTTGCAATGGAGCTTCACTGTCAACAGGAAGAGATGAAATCATAAACTTTTCTTTAATGTGCATGACTACTTTCTGACAGATTTGATGCCATGTCTATAGTCTGATTGTCCCCAGTGCTTTTCAGAGTCAACAGTGTGGAGCAATTAGAGACACACAAAGCTGAGTGAACAAAACAAGAAAGCTGGTTATTAATAAATATCTGTCTGCTCACCCCTAAATTTGTCTGTCGGTCTGTTCATATCAGACTTCGGCAGACTCAAGTGACACCACCTGAAAGTCATCTTAAAATAAAAGGCTTCACTTCAACCTTCTGATGACTGTCGCAGCTCTTTGTAAAACCTCTTATACACCCTGATCGGTAAAACCAGATCAGTCCTTCTTCTAAACCCTGGTCATTGTGTCCGCTGAGTAATGAGACCATAAAAAATCTCTCTGAACATCATTCAGCTCTGTCTGCCAAAGAAAAAAAGGGTAGTGGTTTTTAATAATAAATAGAAAAACTGTCACACCTCAACCACCGTAAAAAGTTGTCAACAGTCCACTCTGTTATCACAATGAAAAGCTTTTTCCACCGTAGTTAGTCTCTGCCTTTAGTATTAAATATATGCACACACACACATATATATATATATATATATATCATTTGACTTAGGATGTCAAGATTTTTAGTAATATTTTATTACTTAGAGGAACAAGTTTTGTCATCTTGAGACGACCAGATATCAACCTGTTATCACGAGAAACAAAGTGACCTTTTATCATGACTTGTAATGGTTATTATAGGAGGTCAGAAATGTGTTGCAAGTAATCAAAGAGAAAGAAAATATCAAAATTAGACAATCTGTTAAACTTAAAAAAAAGTCTGTTTTTTTTAAATATCAGTTTCTTTCTAAATTTGTTGTGTTTATTTGTTTAACTTTATGCCTTATATGGTTTTTTGTTTGTTTGTTTGTTTGTTTTTTCAGTGAGTGATCTCCAAGAGGAAGGGAAGAATGCCATCAACGCTCCCATGCTTCCCACTGCGGCAGACATCCATCCTGAGGACACACTGCTGGGTACATATTACACACATAAAAGTACACATACCATAACACTCAGCCAGAATTATAACCCTCATATGCTAGATCATGGCTTTAATATGCAGCACATGTGTATGATTTGGATTCAGCTTTGGCAGCTCACTTTACTAAGAGTGACACTTGTCGACACACTGGGGTTTTTACAGTTGAGGAGCAGGAAATGAAAGAGGGTGGGGGAAAGACACCTTTGTTTTCAGTCATCATGTGAAACACTGTTGACATGAGCAGGAAAAGGAACCCTGGATATGAGTTTTACTATTATGTTTGTGTGAAGCTGAAACAAAAATCCAGACTGTATCCAAATGAAATCACAGCATTCATACAATATCTGTTTTGTGTTCTCATTTCCTTCATATCATCTTTGTTAGAGGAAAATGCAGAGAGGATCATGTTAGACCCAACATCTCGGGAAAATCTGAAGTTTAAAGATCTTCTGAAGGTACTTTGGTTGCTTGTTTTTTGCTCAAACTTAACATCTTAACAGAATCACAGCAGAAAGCATCTATAACAGAACGTTTACAATCTAATTTTGTGTCCAGGTCCTGATTGACTGGATCAACAGTGAGCTGGAGGAAGATAGGATCATTGTCAAAGACCTGGAGGAGGACTGTTATGATGGACAAGTGCTCCAGAAGTTATTTGGTAAGAAATCTCCCACCAAGCACCAAAGAGAATTGACTCTATTAGCATTAGGAGTCATACTTTTCCAGATATTTCCAAAGCTATTGTCATTTCTTCTCTTAGTGCTCATGTTTCAATATGAGCTTGCACACACATTAGCACCCATAGGTGTGTTGCTCTTGATATAAGGTGTGTTCAGGTGCTTAGCAAGCGTGAATGCCCAAAAACCTGCCCAAAAGTCTGTGGCACAGTATTCTTCTGCTACTATAAGGGAATATAACTGTATGAGAGTAAGACGGCATGCATGTCTCTATCAATTTCAAAAGCCACATTTTGATCAGGAGACTGGTAAAGTGATTATAACATCAATTAATACAGTGACATAACTCATACACTGACTTGTGAGTAGGGCTGAAACGATTACTCGAGTAACTCGAGTAACTCGATTAATAAAATTCCTCGAGGCAAATTATATGCCTCGAGGAATCGTTTAAATCCGGAACCATGTGCAGCGCACGGTGTTTGACACGGACGGTTATTTCTGTTGCGCAGAAGCGTGCTCTTTCCGCTCCTTCCGCTGCCGCGCGTTTGGTTCAATCATGGAGGGAAACGAGGACAGACAGAAGCTGTGCCCGAAATGGCATACTGCCTGCTATCTACTTACCTACTCAAGCAGTAGCTACTGCCTACTGACTACTCAAAGATGATTTGAGTATGCCGCGGCTGCCCGAGCGTTTACACACATACATACTAAATACCCCAGAATGCATTTCGTGCCGGCCGGACGCAGCGCCGGGAAAATTTAAATAGTCCTACCACAAGCTACATAGAACGACTGCATACCGGACAAATTATATAAATTCATTCAATAATAATATTTTTTCTAGCGAGAAAGTAAGTGTTTACATCACGATTATGAGCCCAGTTGTTTGAAATAGTGGCTGTTTGTAAATTTGTCTCGGCGTTTTCGGAGACCGAAGCGTCCACTTGGTCGGTGTTTGCGTCTATTTACCGTAAACACCGGGCAGCAGCAGCTCCCCCTTCACGTTTCCAAATTATTGCGAAGTGTTTTCATAATCAACATCTACACGACACAAACCGGGCGGCAGTGGATGAAAAAAATCACACAAACATCCGTGTATCCATGGTGATAATGCTATACACCACCTGCTAGGCGTGTGATGAGCAGCAGAGGGCTGCAAAATGACCAACACACAACAACATGTAAATAAAAATGTAACACTTTTATATATTGAATAAATGTACATTTGCTTGTCAAATTATGTTAGTATCCAAGAATTATATTATTTCAGCCTATTAATTAAACAAGTAAAATTAGATCCAAAGCCTGGAAATAGTTGTGACTGGTTTAGTGAAAACTGCAAAGATCATTACCATAGCAATTAAAAGACCATCTGCAGACCTTGCCTTCAGTAGTTTCATGTGAACTACATGGTAAAATGTAAAACTTTTGGTTCCTGATTTATGCAGTAAAAATATTCATTTGAAAGACCTGGCCTATTTCAGTTTTGTGTGTTACTGATGGTTTTTAATGAGGCAAACGTGATTCAATGCAAAGTATTACAGTGAGAGCAAAACATTTCTTATCCGATTACTCGATTAATCGACAGATTAATCGATAGAGTACTCGATTACTAAAATAATCGATAGCTGCAGCCCTACTTGTGAGTGTATTCTGCTGTTTTTGAGGTACAGTAAAAGTTGTATTAGTGGCTCAATCCCGTCATTTTGAAGTGCAAAGGCCTGTATTTGTTGTGTAAATAGTAACACGACTGCATGCAAGCACAGCTCTTTGTGAAGGGAATGATTGGTCCTTATTGGTCCTGTGAGTCCAGATTGCTTAACTTGCAGCAATTCACTTTGCACCATCCGCTGTGGACTACACACTCTGTGCTTAAATGACTCTGCCTCTTAAAACGACAAGACTGGGGATTTCTCATGTTTAGAGTGACAACCCCATTGATCACCAGAACAGAATAATTTCATGGACAGATAACAGTTTCCTTCAGTCTCTGCTCTGATAAATGTTTATTCACTACGGTTACTGCTGTCTTTGATTCTCCGGTCTGTTCAGTGCTTCCCCCTTGTGTCTGATCTTTGTTACAGCAGACTGAAAAGCACACTTACAAGGTTTCAGTTGTGTGTGCTCACATTGTCACACGTTGTTTCACTCACCCCACAAACACCAACCACATAAGCATCTGCTCATGACTATGACATGATCTGCTGCAAAGTATTAAATACATTAATACTAAAAAATGTTCGTGGTTAAAGGCCTAAATTCTCCCTCTTTTCTGTGAAATGTGTATGTTGACAACTAATGTCTTCATTTCTGTTTAAGCTCTTTTTAGTTTTCACACAGTTTTATTGCTTTTGAACCCAAACTAGTTTTTTTTTCTTCATTTGTGTCATAGGTTTCTGAGGTATTTTTTATCATTTAGATCACATATATAAAAGATGAGCTTTAATACCCTCCTCCTTGAGATGACTTAGACTTGAAAAGTATTCTCTTGGTGAGACATCTTACAAAGTGGTCTGTTGCTACATGTATTCATTGTAAAGATCATTATGTCCTTGTTTTCAGGGAGGTACTTTGTCCTGGATGTTTTTTCTGTATCCTCATGAAGGCTTTGTTGAAATCTAGTTTGGATTGCTTCCCCTTTTATTTCTGCAGGAGTTCCTCTTTTTTCCTCCAAACTCATGTTTCATACACATTGTCTATTCAATTCAATACGAAACAGCTGCATGATGCCAAGAATGATCATTCAGAGTTCTCTTTCGTGAATAGGAAGTACTGTGTTTTGTAATGTGCGCTTATGCTGATATCTTGGATTTGTCTTTCCTCTTGTTGACAGAACAATTATCTGGGAGGAAGCTGAATGTGGCTGAGGTGACCCAGTCGGAGATCGGACAGAAGCAGAAGCTCCAGACAGTTTTGGAGGCCGTCAATGAACTCTTGAGGCCTCACGGCTGGAGCATCGAGTGGAGTGTGGACTGTGAGTTTTACACCGGCTTGAACAACTCTCTGCTTCAACAGGGAGTCCAATGCTGTAAGGTCAAAAGTAATGAATTAAATAACCATGGTGAAAACTGAAGCAACATGAACAAAAGTAATGTAGCCTACATTTCCCATCATCCAACTTTATTGTATATTTCATTGTCATTCTTTGTCAGACTTTGCAGAGCACCTTGACAATCACCAACTATAACAGTTGTTCTTGAGGAGCCCTATGAAAGACTATTGAAGATGAGAGAAAGATTTAGAGCTCCCCCTACTGGCTGGATGCAGAATATAATATAAATTCATAGTGCATATAACATATTATACATTGGATATTATACATATACGATTTATAGCCACTTACAAAAGAGGCCTGGGTTGGATTTGAAAAAATCTGAATTGCTCTGTTTACACTTACATGAAAAAACATGAAACATGAAAAAATTAGATTTGTGTCACAGATGGTTAAAAAATCGGAATTAACCTGCAGTGTGAACATAGCCTTAGTGTCACCCTCTGTGCTTGACTGCAAATTACAACTTTCTAATGACATTTAATGCAGAAAATAATAACTGTGGTGGTTTACTAATGGTGTTATCGTGTAGATTACAGAGCTGTAGCATCATCACTGTAAAAATTTGACAGTTTCTGAGTATTGAAAACCTTTAGTAAGTTTTTGCTTCTGGGCACACATTCTTGTGTACCATCTCCAGAGTCATATTGATGCATAATTCATGTAGAAAGGGTCTAATTTTTCATAAACTCACATTATCAGCTGCTCATCTGTCATCTGTCTAAATTTCTATCTTGGGGTTTTCTTCTGAAAAATCCAATTTCTTTTGGGCTCAAGTTTTTACAGATTGTATTCCTCCTTGAGACAAATAAACTAAGCTTCATTAGTAAAATAAGTGAACTGCCCCTCTAAACTTATAATTAAGCCTCTTAATTTGCATTACAAATAGAGTGTATTTAATCCTTGCACAGAGTTTTGAAAGAACTCTTCAAACACGTTGGTCCCTCTGGAGCTAACCTCAGAGTTAATTTAATTCATGCTCCATTAACTGCTCCTTTTAAATTTGACTTTTATCTTTGAGAGGAAAAAAAAAGCCCCGACTGTTACCTTTCATCTTTAGGAAAGTGCCCACATTATTATGTAAGCCTTCGACTGAGAGCTTTTTCTTTTTTTATTTTTGATTGTCTGGTACAGCCATCCACTCAAAGAACCTGGTGGCTATTGTTTACCTGCTGGTGGCTCTGGCGATGCACTTCCAGGCCCCCATCAGACTTCCCGAGCATGTCTCTGTGCAGGTGGTGGTGGTGAAGGTAGGTCGAGTGTCTCATCAAGCTCATATTTATCATCAATAGAGTGTAGCAGTGAGTTTAATTTGATTTATTTGCTTAATGTCTTATCTCTTTAAAGCTCAGTAATCTCTATAATTCCTTTCTAAAGACAGGAAACAACAACAGTGACTTACATTCAAACAGTCTGAGACAAAAGAGCATAAATATGTTTGTACAATCACACGTAACAATTTTATCCTGTTTATTTGTTTGAGCAGAAGAGAGAGGGCATCCTGCAGACCGCTCTGGTGACCAAGGAGCTGACAAGCACCACAGAGTAAGAGCTGACACAGTTTCCTGAATTTTATTTAACATTTTTTATGATTTTAGTTTTACAAATAATTCTTCTTCTTCTTTTACTTTTCAGAATGATGATGGGAAGATTTGGTGAGTTTGTACCACAGATTTCAGATTAATTTTAAAAAGTGCCCTTCAACATTTTCATACTGTATCGTTTTGTTACCGCTCAGGGGAAAAGTTCACTGGCTGAGAGGATAAAAACAGATGATTAAAAGAAAGCACCTGTCAAATTTCTGAGTCTGAAAGAGCAAAATCTTCCAGTCAGTCTTTCTGGCTGACAGCACAGCGGAGAAATGCTTTTATAATCATTTCAAGGAATTAAATGTTTTTTTCATTTGTGCTATTCTGTCAGTCTGACCTGAAATTTCTGACTTTTCTTGAAAAGTGTTAAGTTTAAAACTTCTCTTTTTTTATTACAGAGAGAGATGCATTCGATACGTTGTTGGATCATGCACCTGACAAGCTCAACGTAGTAAAAACGGTATTGAAGACTTTTCTATCTGAATGACAAAGTCACCACAGTAACATTGTTTGGCTGTAAACATGGCTTACGGTTTATTAATCCTGTCACCAGTCTCTGATCACCTTCGTGAACAAACACCTGAACAAGCTGAACCTGGAGGTCACTGAGCTGGAATCTCAGGTAATAAGGAATGTGCTGGTTTGTAAACAAATAATTAATAAGGTGTGTATTTATGAATCATGCAGCCTCTCATCTTCTCTGTATTTACATGCACAAGTTTAATTTTCAATCACATGTCATTTAAGTTGATCCTCTTGGACAGTTTTAATATTTGATGCGTGTTTGTTTGTGTGTGTCTCCAGTTTGCAGATGGAGTGTACCTGGTTTTGCTGATGGGGCTGCTGGAGGACTACTTTGTCCCTCTGTACAACTTCTTCCTCACCCCTGAGAGCTTTGAACAGAAGGTGATCTGACCACCTTTAAGCAGAGTTTCTTGTTTAAATATGCAGATTTTGAATCTTATCGGATTAACTGAGCGTCTATATTCCCCTTCAGGTTCATAATGTGGCGTTTGCTTTTGAGCTCATGCAGGATGGAGGCCTGAAGAAACCAAAAGCCAGACCTGAAGGTATTTTAAACTCTTACAAAAGACATGAGGGATTGATTTATTTTGGGTTTTTTTTATTTTTTAGGAGATTTGTTTTTTTTTTATGATTATTATTATTATTGTTATTATTGTTTACTGTATTATAGTGGTTGTCCTTTTGTGGCAGTCATTTGAAGGTTGACCAGTAGATGGAAACCTTGCACCACCCTCCCTGGTTTGATGTGTTTGTTCAGCCTGAGGCTACGCTCTGCTGACCAGTTTCAATAAACCAGCCTGTTCTTAATTTAAGTACAATAGCTGTAATAAGGGAATCAAAAGTGCACCTGATGTTTTTTATGATTGTTGCTATAATTAGTAAAAGTCAGTTTTCGTTGACTCATTTTACTGTCTACATCCAACCAGTCCATTTTCCAAAAAGCTTTCATTACTTTTAATGTCATAACTCATATGTTATGAGGCTTAAAGGCACTGTGAGGACTCTTTTACTGGTCAAGAAACAGACTGAAACTGATGCATCCTAATGACCTTCTAAAGCAAAACAGACCATCAGCAACAGGTCAGATAATTTCCTGGAGTTGTTTTTCATGCTTAAAATGCTCAGAAGGGGGTAGGTGTCAGTCAAGATGATTGACAGCAGAAAAAAACAACCTTGTTTTTTAACTTTGTCAGTGTCATTGTTAAAAGACACCAGGATGAGGTTTTGTTCAAAACAATACTTGGACTTTTATGTGAAAACAGACAAGGGTTCTCTCTTTTGACCACAGGGGGGCGTCATTACTAACACAAACCAAAAGTTCCTCACAGCAGTTTTAAGTTCTGATGAGGGGATTTTTGGATCAGTTTCTTCTTTGATTAATTTAATTTTCCTCAATCTGTTGAAAAATCTTTGAAATTGCAAAACAGTTAATCTTGATACTTCTATTATGACTAACAAAAGCATAAGACTGACCATTTCTATGAAGTTATGGATCCATTTTTTTTTTTTGTCAAGAAACACTTTTCAACCGTCAAGGGACTGACATTATTGACACTAACAACAATTTCATCTGTATTTATTTTGAATTATCTTCCTGTAAGATAAAGTAAAAAAAAAAAAAAGAATCACGGGATTACAGTGACAGTATAATGTCACAAAATTAAAAACAGGGCTTTTTGCTGAAGCGTATCAAGAGCTGTCATCTAGTTATATGCTGTTTTACAAGACAGCAACACCAGAGCAGCTTTAATCAGCAGTCCAGATGATTTTTGGTACATTTTGCAGGCAATAAGTGAAAAAAATGTAACTGTATTATATATGAAAGAAACAGAACATGTCCAGATAGATAGATCGATAGAGCGATAGATACATAGATACATACATACATACATACATACATACATACATACATACATACATACATACATACGTTCATCCCCCCTCCCCTTTTCTTCCTTTCTTCCTTACATCTTGAAGGGAATTATTACAGCAGCATGAATCACAGTCAGTAAGATAAAAAAAAAAACATCAAACAGACATTCAAGCACATAAAAGCCTCCAAGACAACAGATCTACTAAGAATTAGAAAATCCAACAAATTCTCAATAAGATATCTAAATATAGATATAAACGTATGATAGGGTGATTCAAAGTGCAAATTTATTTCATTATTCAATGTGACTAAGTCATCAGCATTTCATTTATGCTGATGACTTAGTCATCGTGTCACCTTACAATGCTGGTGTTCAGCAACTGCTCAGGATGTGCCAGTTTCTAGTCATGATGAACAGCATGACACCAAGTTTTACTGCAGAAAGAGTGGTATAATGATGATAAAAGACAAGGGCTTTTAGAGAGCAAATGTTCCTTCTTAGATTAGGCAATTCATGTTGAGGATAAAATGAATATCTGGATCATATGATCAGGTGTGATCTAAGTGATGATGATCTACAGCAGTAATGCTGTATGCATAAGTTAATATAATGGTGTGTAAATTTTCAATGTGCACTAATAATGTTAAAACATTACTGTACTTCATTTTACACTCTACATCTGTGGTATAATAAGAGCACAGGTAAGATAAACAAAAAAAAATCAGTTTTCAATTAATGATGTATTTTTAAATCATCAAGATAGACGAGTGTATAAGTCATGTGTTTGTTTTTATGATGTCCTTACATTTAATGCTTTACTGAGACATTTTAAGTCAATATTTATGTGCCTATTCACTGATTCAGAAAATGTAACCATAAGGGAGCTCGCTCAACCGCTCACAAAGGTGTTTCTCTTGTTTCTGGAAACACTGGAGCAGATCTCTTTTTGAGTTTTAATCACTGTGAACATGTGAACTATTATCTTAGATTTTTGCTCTCCCTGTATTTTGTTTACATTTTTTCTATTTTTTATTATTATTTTCAAAGAACAATGTTGCTGACTTCTTAAAATATTTTTACAGGGACTTTGCTTCACATTGATCACCTCTCTTTTTCTACAAGTTTTCTTCCTCACCTTGTTTATCTAAATAATTACTGAGTCTCTCTTACTGCATTGTTTATACTCTTAGCTCACAACTTACTTGTTGTCGTTTTCTCTCTCCTAATTGCTTGTTTGTGAAGTCTTCTCATTTTTGTCTGTTTATGACCAGTGAACTCTCCCAGCACAGTTTTCTGAGGCAGCCTAACGTTTTACTGCCCAGTCTTGTGTGTACAAGCCAGGAAAATGCCAAAGTGGGAAATAGACTTTCTGGTTTTGTGTAATTATTTAATATTTGTATTTTGAATCAGTTTGAGCTACTGTAGACTTTCCAAGTGTGCAAATATTGTTTCTCTCCACACTTATGCAAATGATCTCCCTGTCTTCAAACATTTTCTGGTTTAAGCCAAAAAGGAAACACGTCTCCTGCCAGAAAAAAGTAATCACTTCTCAGATTTTTGCAGTAATTGGATGTACTAGCTATGTACGATCTTCATAGCTGCACAACTGCACTCCCACTTTGACATGTGTCCTGATTAGCGTATGAGTAGCTTAAGTCTTTGCACAACTGTGGGTTTATTAAAAATGAAAGCAGAGATCCTGAATCTGTTAATGATATCAACACTGTCAACCACTCAGAGATACAAGCCCCAGAATAACATGAAGTAAATAATGTAGTACACCATCTCACAGACAGAGAGCAGAAAGTAGTTTGAGGCCTTTGGATCTCCTGTGGCAGGAAGTGATACATCATAAAAATCATTTGCAAATTCTTCAGCTATTTCAGGCTCCATTACCTGTGAGGAAAAGTAGTCCAATATTAATTAGAAAAGAAGCTCCTTAGCATTGTAAATATTAACTTTTGGCAGTGCAGCCCATTTATGTTGTACTTCGAAGTCTCAGAGATCAAATTTTTCCCTCTCATAGCGTAAATTTGTGCACTTCTCTAACGTCTTAACTGTCATCCCAAAAAAGTAATGGTCTCTGCCGTCTCAATTTTGTCTTCCAGATGTTGTCAACGTGAACCTCAAGTCCACCCTCAGAGTCCTCTACAACCTGTTCACCAACTATAAAAACTCAGAGTGATTTTCTCCAGTTCCCCTTCCTGATATCACTCCATGGATATTTTGAATTACAGTCCGGACACTAAAGGAGACCAACTGGGACTGAAAGTCATCATTATGTTGGACTTACAAAGACCCATGGGGAGTCGCCAAGAAAAGGCTCTGAATGTTAGTATTTAATCTTCCCCTAATGTCAGAATTTATTTATTCAACCCCCTCATGATAAATGCAGCCCAGGAAACCCTGCAGCCTTTAACTTGCATTTGAATGCTCTGCCATCACAGGGAAATGTACGAGGGCAGGACTTAAACACTTGAAAGCATCGGTGTGCTCAACCCTCCTTCAGGGAATACTGTCATAGAAAATGCTTTTACATATTATATCTGAAAGTGCTTTATGTAAATATATAAAGATAATGTAAACAATCGTGAAAATAAACATATTTACTTTAATTAGCAGAGTTTTGTTGAAAGCGCTCTTTTGTCTGTATAGTATGTATGTTAATTAGAGTCAGCTGTTAGTTCCTCATGTAAATATTAGAAATATGGAGGCTGGGCCAGCTTAGTTTTAGATTCACTCACCAACAGCTGTAGAATTTATTTAAAGTGCTTACAGGGAGTTTTAACTAATGAAGCAGAAAAAAATTCATATTGATGTCTTTTTATGATATAAAATCAAACAAAACTATTAGTGACAAAATTGAAGATTTTTAGATCCCAATCTTTGATGCCTGAAAATGGTGCGAAGGGTAGTTGTCTGAATTTCAGCTGAACAACCAAATTTTTCCAAATACTGCACAAAAAAAATGTACGATGAATGATAGATTTGATCACTCAAAGTCAGCAGGATGAGATTATTTTTTGCAAGTCACTATTTAAGCTCGTAGAGGACAAAATAAGAAGACTTGCTTTTGTCCACAGGGGGCGCCAAAATTTACATAAACTAATTTCTGCACTGAAGCTTGAAACTATTTTATATGAGTTGGATTGTCTGAATAAACCTTTACTAATGAAAAAAGTGACAAAAATTACAACTGCAGATGAAAGTCACTAAAAGTAGAGAGAAAAATTAAACACCTTCATGTTACCACCTGTAAGATGTTTATTATAATCCCAGTCATTTTCATTAAACTAAATGTTTCCATACTCCTCAGTAATGTCAACAAGTCTTTGAGGGAATGCATCATCTATATCTTATTTTATAAAAACCCACTTATTACTGGATTATTCACTGTCTGCAACATGAAATTTAAACTACATTACTGTCTACTCTGTTACATCTGTAAAACCAGATCTAAATTATTCAGTGAATTGGACCAGAGTCAAAAGCTGCAGTATTAGAGCTGAATGTGGAATATATCAAAACATACTTGCCCACATCACATTTTTTGGTGTATTTGTACTAATTAAGATGTTTTCTGTAGGAAGTATTGTCCCTCTATAGTTTACTTTCCCTTCATTACTAAATAAAAGTAGTGAAAGCAAAAGAGGGAAACCTTTTGATAGCTAGTCGATCAGCTGTTGTTTATCACCTGACAGTAAACTAACAAAGAATGAGATGCAGCAGGACTGTTAAATGAATGACTTATTTTTCAACCACTTTTCTGTGGCTCATGTCAGTACAGTTATTTAACGAAGAAAAAAAAAACACCTCCCCAGCCTCCTATTATTTTGTATTGAAAAACAGTCAAAGTCCAAATCTGGTCTTATCTGGATTGTCTGTCCTTTTACTTACATAAGCTAATAACGGCTGGTTAGCTTAGGGATGAATTTGAGGGAGTAACTAAGTTTATCAAACTTTCAGTGAGTGAAAACATATTCCTTTATTAAACTGGAAATGCTGTATTTCATGTAGTATATCTGAAAATGTCTTGTATATTCTAATCCTAGCTTTTACTCTGAAAGCTTTTACTTGACATCTGACAGATCTTTGAACAGTTGCTGTCTAGCGACTCTGAACTCCGCACTTGAAGAGTGAAGCCATATTTAAAAGCTGTTTCCTCCTGCCTTGAGTGCTGTGCTCTCTCTTTGTCCTGGGGGAGCCTGAGTCAGAGAATGTCTTCACATCGATCCGCCTTTCAGACGAGTCCCTGAGAAGGCCGAGGACTTTTCAGTGCTGTCCTTTAGGAGAGCTGAGCTGCAGGTGCCACCTTCAGACCTGCTGAGACATACAGTACAGTTCACTGCCACTACATTTCAGAGTTGAATTACTGAGAGGATAGAGGAGACTGTCTGAACTGTGCTGGATGGCTCACCCCTGTGCAGCTCTTTTTAAAATCTAACCTATCAAGGAATAAGCGCCTGGAATGAAACAGAATGAGAATTTCATTGTAACTTATATTCCTGTGATAGGTTAGATTTGCTGCGGCTTTTGAAGGGGAGATTGGCTCTGGAACAGCCAATTCCTGCAATTTGGGTTCAGCTAAAGGAATTATGGGTTTAATTTAGACCTTTATTTTTCTTGTCTCATTCCTTTGTTGCTATGGTAACCTTCCACGTCCCCCAAATTGCCCCTTTGTCTGGCTGTCGGGTGGTCTTTTTCTTTCTTTCTCTTCTTCAGTGCAGATAAAAAAGCTTTTTTGTTCTTCACTGTCTTTCTGTCTTTTATTTTTCCCATTGTGTTTGTTCGAGAACAGCAAAGGCTGGAGACCAGATGACAACAAATTGATCTGCCTGGTCGCAGATAAAGATGTGTGATTCAAGTTTGAGTGGTTTAGGCCCGAAAAAATCACGCTTCTCACAAACCCACCTGAAGGGAGGCTTTTCCGACAATGCATTTGCACCCTAGAAACCTTCCATTTTCCTAACACACACAGTTTATATTGAAGCAGTTTGTAACATTGGACATAAACCCTGTCTGCATGGTGCAAAAACACAAACTTGATTCCTCTATAAACGATATTTTGATGTTTTTGTGTCTGTAAGTGCAAAACATTTATGAGAACATGTAAACTCTCCTTAATCACCCAATAACTCTAATAATTCTGAACACCATAGAAACAAAAGAGAAGAAAAACGGAGCAGAAAGTTGGTAGGAGGAAGAGCAGGTTTTAAGTATTTAGGAGGTCATGTATCAGAGGGCCTGACCCGGAGCCTGAGCGCATCATTCCTGGTCAAGAGTGAGTAGCAATTGACTCTCAAAGAAAGCATGGCCGACTGCTGCACAGTCTGTTATCCAGAAGCACCAGGCTGGACAGGAAAACCTGATCTGGTATGCAAAGATGGCTCAGCTGATGGCACAACTGATTCTGTTTTGATATTAAGGTCAGGCTCAGTAGGCTAATGGAGGACAGAGCCTTGTACAGACTTTAAAGATACTTGTTGAAAACAGTTAAACACTGGAGTCTGGCAGGATCTAATGTGAAACGTGTTTGTCGTTCAGTCGCACATAAAAACAAAAATACACCTTGAGTATGTGACTGACAAACAAGCTAGGGGTGTCAACTTTTTGACTTCCGATACAATACCGATATTGTAGCCTTCAATACTGACTGATACCGATATTGATCACTCTTACTCCTTGCTACTTTGTTCGTACCTTAGTACACACTGTTGTTGTGATTTTGTGGGCTCAGCCTGCTGGATCAGGGCGCTGCTAGATAGAGGTGCCAGAGCGGGGTCTGGAATGGACTGCTTGTACTGGAGAGCTGATATCAGAGATTTTAGACATAGGCCGATATAATCCGATATTCTTTTTTTTTTTTGCTAATATCTGGCCAATATCTGATATCAATTTCGGATCGGGACACCCCTAAAACAAACCTCTAGCTTCTTTGTTTATTTCCTGCTGGGTATCCTCTATTACGATGATCTCTTCATGTTTTGTTTTGTTTTTTAATGCAACTTGAACTTTATAGTGTCACACCGTTTGCTAAGCAACCATTGACAAGTTTTGACTAACAATTGACTTTATAATGTCTGGTAAAAAAGCGTCCTATTCTAACACAGTTTTTCTGTAGTCTTGAGTTTTATGAAGCCTCCAAGTTACCTCATAAGTCAGATGTCCGAGCTGGGAATGTCGTCACACCTGAGTTACCAGCGTTGAAAAAAAGCAAAATTGGAGGCCGAAAAAAGATGGCTACAGCTATGAAAGTTATTTTAACGCTTGCCTTGTCCTTGCTTACATTCAGACAAGACAGTGCTGAGATGACTTTTGTAGATGTAGTCATCTTGTTTCTGCCTCCAATTTTGCTTTCTTCCGACTTACACTGGTAACTCGGGTGTGACATCCTAGCTCTGACTTCCGACTTCCGGGGTGACTCACACCATTATTTGACACCTTGGCAACCTGGTTAACACTGACATCTCTCAGTCTAAGGTTGATGAGAAACATCAATGATTTCAAACACAAACCACCTGTTTACCACAGAAGTGTTTCCCCCCCCGCTGAGCTGTGGAGAGTTTGGTGCAATCATAGACCCTTGAAGAAAAGTGCAATACTGTGTGCAATAACTACCAATATCATCCCACTTGGGACCGTGTGACGCTGACTCCTTTTATCTCGAGCTTTTAACCACTCAGCAGTTCCAGAAATAACCTTTTTTTATTGTCAGTTTTACTTTACATATAAAGTGTGCATGAGCGTGGGTGTGTGTTCACATTTTTATGCTGCTTTGAAGTGGATTTCTGCCATAGTAAATTTTGCTGTCTTCAGCATGCAACAACAATGAAGCATCGATCTGGCTCTATTTGATTTTATTTTTAACCTCTGTAAAAACCCCTTTGCAGTAAACTGTGTGCAAAACCAGCATCAGAAAGAGGAAGTGACATCTTCTCCTTCTTCACTGCCACATCCTCTCATTTATGCTCATCATTCACCCTGGTTGCATGTATGTTCCTCCAAAGCTTCAGTCTAAAGTGAAGTTGGACCTTTTGTTGAGAGGAGGCTGTATTCAGACTGAGTGCAACCCCTCCTCTTCTGTCATCAATGTTGTGACAGAATGTGGACTTGATATCAGTTCAGGAACTCAATTCAAGCTGAAGTCCCTGCCTTTCTGCCGAGTCTCTCTCAGAGTGCTAAAGGTAAGTTTATTCCAGAAACTGCTTTTGTTTATGACCTTGTTTGAAAGTTACTGTCAACCTCAGGAACAGGAAGCCACACACACACACACACTCACACATATAAAACACACAGGAAAAGAGAAGCTGCTAAGCACGGCTTTTCTCTCTCCTCCTGATGCAGGAAACAACAGCTCGACACGCTCCAGGTCACGTCTGTTTTGTCAAACTGTGATACTTTGTGTGTTTGCTGTGCTTTGTCTCGAACCCTATGATTGAAAATGTTCAGAGGCAGAGGTTCAGCCCCTGGCAGATCTGTGGGGATCAACAGTTCCTCATCTGTTGTGTGTGTGTGTGTGTGTGGGTTTGCATCTAAAAAGAGAGAGAAGAAGGAAGTGAGGAAACTAAACATCTTCCTTTTTTTTTTTTTCAGTATGACAACTTTTCGACCAGTTCAGACAGACTCTCTGCTCAGAAACTTCTGGACACCTATAGTCATCAAAAAATCTTTTAAAAACAAACCCTGATGTGAACTGTAGAGAGCACAAGTTTTTCTTTGAATCCAAAAAATAAAACAAGAATTGGAAGATTTTCACACAGAGGTATAAACCACCCGGCAGTGCAATCATCATTTTACTCTGCTGGTCTGTGAGTCAAACAGTAAAGTCAAAAAGCCCCTGTAGAAAGAGAGAGAGACTTTGTGCCCAAGATGTTGATGTAGAAAGTGTTTCCTCATTCTCATGTACAGCACATCTTCTCAGCTAGTAGTGCACAGCTGATCCTTTGCAGATTTTGTTGGCAGGAGGAGAATATCTCACCTTGAGGAGAGCCGATGGAGGCTGATATCTTTGAGTATCACAAAGAAGAAGAGCTGGTGGACATCGAGACTTTTGAGGGTATGACTGCATTCACTGCACTGTACATATACCACCGGTAGTCCTCAATAGTAAATCATGATATGTAAATGATCATATTTTCTATCTATCTTAATACAAGAACTATATCAGTGATGTAAGCTGAATGTACAGTGTGAGAGTTACACGTTTTATTTTACTAACATAATTAGGAAATATGATTTTACTCTAAAAAGCTCCGCTCATTCAGGTTGAATCACATTTTTGAAGACTTAAATAAGCTCCTGAACTTAAAGGTACTGTGTGTGATAATGAGTTACATTTCACAGAACAGGCTTGGTATAAATTTAACACCCGAATATCAAAATCTTTTCTTTTCTATTATCATAGTTGCTCAACAACTCACAATATAGCCCCAAGTTTGGTCGAACTTCTCAAATTTTAGCTAAAGTGGTGGACTTTAAAAATGACAGCCACATGAGACACAAAAATCACTCACTTTCGTTCGTTTAGAGTTATGTTTCAGCCCCCTGAGAAGAAGAATGTAAGTCTTAAATATTTGAGCCTAAAAGAAAATAAGAAAAGTTGTCTACAAAATCAAACAGCAGGCTGAAAGACGCTGAAACCATCTCTGCTGTGCTGCAGAGATATGTGTAAATTTTTACTCCTAAACACATTTGATTTGTTTGTGATTTAGCAATGCCTGTCTTATCACAAACTTAACATTTAAGTTGATAAAAAATGTGAATTAACTTCATCATGTGGAGCATTTCTAGCCTTAAGGCCACTTTACAAGATTTACTTTACATGCCTTTTTCACTATTTATTTACACATCCATACACTCATAATTTTCAGATTTAAAATGTGCTGAGATAATGTTTGCTTTTCATTAAATGTAATTTGTGAGGGTTTTTTAAAGCATTTCAAAGAGGCTGTTTGATCACTGCTTTTTATATGTCTACTCAGGGGGAAAGCAAAAGCTCATTCAGCCAACATCTTTAAATAACCCCAAACTTAAAAAACTAAAAGAGGTAAGTCATTAATTCTTGTTATCTGCAAATAAACCTTTGTCTGAAGCTTTGTTTATTTATTTGACATGTAATACAGCGTTAAAAACATCATCCTGTGCAGATCCAGGATTCCAAGTTTGACGTTAATGGGTTTGAGATCACTGCAACACAGGAAACACATTATAAAGAGCTCACACGTATGTGTGCAGTGACATGCATGAATAATATCTGATACAGGAATGGAAGAGGAAAAATCTGTGAAATTTTAATGAGCATAATTATCAGAGGTGACACATCAGAGAGACACGACAAAGAGTCTGCAGAGCCGACTGGATGTGCATTTTGATTGGCAGAGAAAGGTTGATGTACGAGGGGCAATAAATGAATAAACAACTTAGTAAGACAAGCGTAAGTGAAAACAAATTAAATATTGCTTATTCGGGGAGCACTTTATATTTTTCATCAGTTCCATCAGCTTATCTTACAAAATTGGCAAAGATAATTGAAAAAAAACAAAGTCTCAAACTGTTTTTCATTTGGGGCACAAAAATGTAGACGAGCAGATGAAAGGGTTTGATGTTTCTGACTGTGTAATGAATTGTGTCTCGGTAGGCGTTGCTTTATTGGATCAATAGCACTTTGAAACTGGAGCACATAGTTGTTCAGAGTCTGGAGGAGGATCTGTATGATGGACTGGTGCTTCATCACCTGCTGTGTGAGTACAAATGATTGCTCTGTCATCCCTGATATTTAATCTTTCATTGTCTGACTTCCTCTGAATCATGATTTCAACCTGAAGATGAAAATGAACGAATGATTTCCATCATACTGAGTGATAGAGATGAGTATATGAGCAAAACAAATGCCGTCAGCATTTGACTGATCCCTCACTTTATCTTTGTATATGATATCATTGTTGTTAAAGCTCCTATGAGGAGTTTTTTGACATCTATGAAATAAACTGAAATTCATACTGATGCCTTCTGATGATAAACTGAAGCAAACAAGACCATCAGAAACGAGACTGAGGATTTTTATATCTTAGTATTCAAAGCATGAAACTGGTACAACGGGGTAGGTGTTGGTCAAGCAGCAAAAGAAACAGCCTTGTTTTTATGTTTTTTACATAAAATATTCACAACAAATGATACATTTTACAGTCAAAAGTCAGTGAATGGGGAATCATACAGAGGGCACCGAAATTGACCCAAACTGAAAGACGTATTCCGGCGTAAAGTTAATTTAGGGTCAAACACACCGTAACACCGAGTTAGACACCCCCTCAGGAGATGAATGTTGCCGACTGCTTGCTTCTCTAGTCATACCAACTTTAGTAACGACCACAGAAAGCAATACACAGTGGTCTGAGGAGCCATAAACAAACCTCAACCAAAACGCCACTCTATAGCCACAAATAATGCTCAGAACAGCACCTAACTTCATCAACAGTACATACAGGGTCCAAGCCATAGCACTAGCCACCAAACATGTTTTAAACTTTGCCTAATTTCTTTAGCAAAGAGACTGAACACGACTCACCTACTCTCCTCCAGCAGCCGCTTGTTTGTACAGAGACCTCAGGCCAGTCCGTTACGGACTGCTGCGGGGTGACGCAGCTCAAAGAAGAACATTTATGATCATTTCTTCATGGAAATGCAATCAGACTGAGATGCTAAGGCAGAAGAACTACCGCGTCTGCAGTGCAAAATGATTAATATGGTGATTATTACTTCAAGGAAATGATAAAGAGATGATCATAAATGTTCTTCCTTGAGCGGCGTCACCCCGCAGCAGTTCGTAATGAACTGGTCTGAGGTCTCGCTACAAACAAGCGGCTGGTGAAGAGAGTAAGCTTTAAGTTGGCTCAGCATTAAGCTCAATGGGACATGCTAAGAAATTAAAATAGGCTAAATGCTAACCATGTTTGCCACATTCATAATACAGCCAGTTTCCTCTTACTTTACTCTCACAGTTGAAATCTAAAATGGGTTAGAGTTATTAATTAACAATATTGTCTTTACTTTGACAGCCAGACTAGCTGGTGTTACTTTGTCCGTGGAGGAGATAGCGGTTACCACCACAGCTCAGATCCGTAAGCTGGAGGTGATCATGGAGGAGCTGGACAAAAGACTGGGTCTACAGAACGACAGAGAGATCAAGTGGAACGTCAAACGTGAGTCATTTCAACCACGAAGCAACAAGTGAACAAATGTTCTGTGTCAGCTGCCAGTTCAGATTACTACAGGATTTGGTGTTAGTTCAAGTGTGCCATGATAGCTAACACCAACTGTTGAGGGATTTTAACAGAGCGAGAAAAAAAAAGAAAAAAAATCATGACACCATGGTTTTGGTTTTGGTCAGCTGTCGTCTAAATGAGAAACTGAGTGTCTGGGGTTCCTCTCACTCATGTGAATGTTTTCTGCTGTACTACATGATTTATCATGCTCAGACAGGAAAGCACAAATACTGTTATGATGGCACAGTGCTGTGTTGCAGGTTAGCAAAATATTAAATGCAGGAAATCTGACAAATCACTACTTCATCACGAGCCTACTTCGCTCCATATCTGATTTTGGAGCTGGGAAAGTTCCAGTAAGGAGTTGTAAACAAAGCATTATTAGTTATATCAGGCAATCACAACCCACTGCATGATAGTTTGTGCATCAAAGCAATATGAAAACACTGTCAAAGACAAAACTTCAAAATATTGACTGACTACTCAGCTAGGTTTCAGTTAAAATTGGTGTCTAAAATCAAAAATGGTGTCCTTGTTAATGAGTTTAAGATTATTTAAATTCACTGTTGTTGGTATTAGTGTGTTTTGTTTCCTGTTTTACTTCCTGTGAGTAATAATGGTTGGGGTAGATAAGCTGCTGGATAGATGTGATGGTCCAAGTCCACTAATGCATGTAATGTGTTAAAGTGGAACCAAAATCACAGGGGACATCAATCAGTGACGGGCTGATTAGTAGGTGCAGGCTCATAGGAGATGGATGTGGGTTGCTGCTGACCATGTAACAGATTAAAGGACAGCGGATGGCGACCAGCTCCTGTTAACAGGAAGCGGTCAGCAGTCCCAAACAGATGCTTCCTATCCCCAAAAGACATCAAAACTGTGTATGAAGCCCAAAGTGTGGGCACCACAAACAGACGACAGACAGGTTCAGCAGCCTGTTAAACCACCCAATCCCCTCGCCACAGGTGGGGCGGGAAATGTAAACTTAAGTGTCAAACTCTTTGACAGTGTTGAAAAGGTGGTGAAAATCCTGTTTGATTAGTTTGGACTGCTGTTTGGAGATGCTGTTGGTATATGTTTGTGATTTTGCTGGCGATGTCCTGAGCAGTTTCATCAGGGAATGACAGAGTAAGAGCCTCCTGCAAACACAGGTACCTCATGATGAAGTCCTCCTATGGTTTATGTTGTCTCTTTTTACATCACTCCCCTATAAAATAATTGTTTAGCTTGAACAAATGTTTTTCTTTTCTATGGTATTGTGGTATTTTAATGTTAATGTGGCTTGGTGTGGTCGAATGCTAACATTAGCTGACGGTTTCTGGGAGTGGGTTGGCAAATATGTTGTTTTAATTTAAAATACTCCTCCCAATTGCTAGTTTCCATGAAGGCCAATGATGAATAATATAGATATGAGATGTTAAACTTTGGAAATGAGCAAAATAGGTTAGAAATGTTCATTAGATGGTCTTTTAGGTCAAGGATTCAGATTAGTTTGGCCTTCGTCTGCTCTCATTCTAGGATGTGTCAATCTCTGTTGTTGTTATTTTTTGTATTTTGTTCTCCTCTGTTTGCCTGTCAGTCATCCACAACAAAGACCTTTTGGCCACTATTCATCTGCTGGTTGCCATGGTGAGATGTTTCCAGCCTGACCTGGATTTACCACCACATGTAAAAGTTGAAGTTGTAATGATAGAAGTGAGTAACAGCTCAGGATTCAGGCCCTCAACATACAGCGAAATTATAAACACCAATAACGGTTTTGCTTTTAACTGTTTGTTTACCTTTATTTACATGCAGGTCACTAAAAATGGAATCAAATCTGAGGTTGAGACGGAGGTCCTAACAGCAGCGAGGTGAGCTGATTTATGTGTGGCCTGATTGTGTGGATGATGCAAAACATCTCAGTTTACCTCTTTTTTTTTCCAGTGATGCTGCTTCAGGCTCTCTTGAGAATACTGAAAGTGAGTATGGAGTCGTATCTTGAGCTGATGTGACATATTGAATGTCATCCAAGCTGCATTTTAACCTTTACCAATGTTAATGCACTTCTGTGGTTGTATGGTCACCCAGGGGAAGACCCCATCGAAGCCCTTTTGAAGCTCGAGTCTCACAAGGTCAACACGGTGAAGAAGGTGAAAAGAGGAGAGGGGGGAGGTACTGAGGGACTTTAGGGAGACAAGTTTTCCACTTATCCACAAGAACAACTGAGGACAGAAAAGGAAATGGAAAAAATAGACTTTAGTTTGATTTGAAATCTACCTTTTACCTTTATTAAAGCATGATAAAGACTCAAAGTCAAATGAAACCTTGAAAATTATGTCTTACGAGTGGAGGTTCTATTCTTTTTTGCTTATGTTGACCTATATAAATAGAGATGAATGTAATTTAAAATAAACAAACAAACAAATATGTGTTATAAGAAATATCAAACACACAACACACCATTCCGTGCTGATTGCTACTTGCAATCTCTTGTAACTAGGCACGTGCGCCTTTAAACCTCCAATGCGGTCGCCAACAAATCTGCAAGTTGGAATAAGAAATTCATTTATATTTTATTATATCTAGAACTGTAGGTCTAAAAATACCTGCTATATATTGGGTCTAAGCCATAACACAACCACTTGTCACTAGCTGGGAATCCAGTTAATATCTACCCACAATAACACTAAAGTACTCTACTACCCAGATGTAAACAAGATGAGTTAAAACCCACTTTGAGCAAAGACAGAACATCAGGCAGTAATGTGTGTTTTTTCTTGTTGTGATATTTTACTTTTAATCTTTTAGCACCCGTGGGAGTTGTAGTAACCCATTTGAGAAATACAACCTCAACATCTCAGCTAGATAAGACCAACATGTGTTTTCACCTGCCTTACCTCAGTTTTCTATTTCCAGGCTATCTTACACTTTGTCAACCAGAACATGTCCACCATGGGCCTGCAGGTGGCTGATATGGAGAAGCAGGTGAAGGGAAAAAAACACCCGTACTTCAAAAGACTAGATTACTTCTCCAGATATCATACCACTTTTCTTGGACTGACTCTAATGTTTTGTGTGTTTTTTGTTCAGTTTGCTGATGGTGTGATTCTGCTGCTGCTGATCGGACAGCTTGAAGGCTTCTTTATCCCGCTCTACGACTTCAATCTGACCCCTGTCAATCCCACTGAGATGGTACGGTATGGATTCAATAAGGACACCTTATGCATAAGTGAGGGGAATGCAGCAGAAAAAAATGAACAGTGACACTCAGAGGATACACTAGATACTACTCAGTTTTAATCATTCTCTGCAGATGACGTTGGTGACATTTGCAATGCATTTATTAATCCAAATTTCACAGTATCCAGTCTTATTTTATTCACTGATGATATTTTATAGGAGTGCAGATATACCCAGAAACCATTATTATAATTTAAAATGATAGCACATTTTCAATTTTGTAATTTGAGATTATTTAATTTCCTACTGAAGCTCAGCAGATTGTTCAGCTACAGCACTGAAACCTGGCCCAAAACTCTTTCTATTACCTTATATGATATGATAAAATGAATATTTCACTCTTTCCATTAAAAAGTATATGCATAATTACTGCGGTGTCAAGGCTCACTAATAATGATATCTTTGAGCTCACTTTACTGAAGGCAGTAGGATGAGACTGTGAAAAACTTATGACTCTTTTATAACAGATGTGATCAGCATATAAAAAACTGAAGACCTGAAGACACTTCCAAAACTCCATTTGAGACCAATTTAACTCTAAAAAAGTACAAATATTTAAAGGGTAGACACATTATACATTATCTGGAGTGCATTACATTTTGTTAGATGATGTCTTGTATGTGAAAAATTTATGTTTTGCGCCAATAAATATTGGATTTGATCACTGAGAATTATTTTAATTCAAAATTATGCCAAAAAGGTCTTAAGATTTGTTAAACTAACAACAAAAACGTGAGCACATGCAAAAGATATGTCTGTTAAGCTAGTTTCCCAACAATTTGTCATTCACAAGATAATCAGGACCCAAAGCTGTATTATTTATTTCACAGTGAAAGGGACCAACCATGAACAAAATTAATATCATGCTGTGTTGAATAGACCAGTAGATTTGCAAAATTTCTTCCTTTTAGTTAGAGAGAAAGCAAGTTGAATGTGCTTCAAGGAGAGGCTGTGTCCACTCTGTAACCCAACTCTGAAAAGTTTTAGAAAACATTTAGTTACAAAAGTAAACATGCTCATCGTCCTTCTCAGATTTTTTTGTATTCACTTTTTTTTAAAAAGGCCTGAGCTTGGAAAGTATCCCTTTGGAGAAAAATAGAAAATTCCTTTTAGAAGAAAACTGAGATGCATTCAAAACGTTACGCTTTAGGACACCTTTAAAGTATGAAACAACTTTTCTTGCTTGGTTATAGTTAAATATTAATCAGTAAGCTAAAACCTTTTTTTCACATCATTGGTAAATAGAATTTCAGATGCTGATTGTGGATTTTGTGTTTGTAATTTTGATGTTTTTGACTCGCAGCTTCACAATGTAACCCTGGCCTTAGACCTCATGGATGAAAGCGGTCTGCAGACATCTAGTGTCGACCCACAGGGTGAGGAAATACACACTGTGCACAAAAATACACACTTGCTTATACGACCCCACTTTTTTGATGTGGGGTTGTATGAAGTACTCTTCAATAGCGAACATATTAGCCACAGGGGACCCTGGTCAGACCGCTGACCAAAACAGAAGCTGGACTTCCAACTGTTGCAGTTTGGGTCAGCTCTAACATGTAATTTAGCATATTTTTAATATCAAACTCCAACAAAAACATTGTTTACTATGTATGTGTGCACGTTTTACTTTGCAGTCTTAAGGCCCATTTGCAGGATTGTTGTTGGCCTGGCCATTCAGGCGCACCCCATGCACAGAAGCTACAGCTCTTTTAGCACTGGTCAGAGGATCAGTCCCTAAATCGCAATGATTTGTTTCCACTCTCAGTGCTTAGCTCGGAGTTTGTTGAAAATGACTAAATCACATTACAGAGCTGACCCTGTCTACAGCAGTTGGTCACCTCGCTCACCTGTTTCTTAACAAAGGCGCTGAGTTGACCAGGATCCATTGTGGCTGATACACTTACTTTTGACAAGTACCTCATACAACCTCACTTTAAAAAAAAAAAAACACCCTATCCCTTTAAAATGCCAGGCATAGAGGATGACGAAGGACAAGTAAAAAAAAAAATGAAAATGAAAAGCGAGGGCCTGCAAGTAAAATGATAACATCAGGAGAGAGCCCACTTCAGCTCACAGACAGCAGTGTCAGACTAATTCATCTGATATCCTCTAATCAGGAGCGTTTATCTGTGTGACAAGGAACGCCAAAATCTGTTAGTGTGTCAAGCGAGGAGTAGGGGGTCCGCCTCGGTACTTTGAGATAATTTTAGGTGGAGTGTGGGTTTGACGGTGATTTGGAGAGAAAGATGGAATTGTGCGCCGAATATGAACAAGTGCAATTTGTGTCTCTGTGAGTAGCGCTGTGGATGATTGGCTCAGTCCGAGGTCATCATCATTCATTTAGAGAGAAGCAGCAAGGGAGATGGTCCTCAAGGGGACCATGTCACTGTGGGGCTGATAAACACAGTGGTTTAACCTCACAGGCATGGCTTCATCTACTGTGACTGTGTGTGTGTGTGTGTGTGTGCGACTAGAGGAAAATATCTGTATTCATGAACACTGCTTCTCTATCCCACCCACTTATCAGATTCATCCCAGGAATACTCTGACTGTATCCCTGCTGAAATGATCAGTTTCACTTTGCAGCAGCTGGTTAGAGATATCAAACAGTTTGTTATTTGTGTTGTCAGCTCAATAGTCGTACAATTTATCATTTTATTTATCCGGGCTGGCACATTTTAGGAGTATAAAGGTTTGAGGTATACCGTCCAAGTCACCGAGGTTGCTCTCTAGCTGAACTGTAGCATTCAGTTATTACGAAAGTACAACAAGCTCCTTCAACAAAGCACCAAAAAATCAAGCTAGAACGAATTCAACATGTCAGGTACCAGGTCAAAGAAAACTCTCACAGTCTTAAATCACACTTTAAAAAAAAACATCACATTTGGAGCAACCTGCACAGATCGAAAACTAAGTGTTACCTGGTTTAGTCTACGTTACATCAGCTTAACTATGGCAGGGGCTCTGAGCAGCAAGAAACAAATGAAGCTGGCAATTATGGAGAATGTCAGGTACCCAAAAAATGACCCATTTTATCACCTGTTTCCAAAATGTTTGCAGAAAAAAAGAGTCAAAAACATTAAACTTGATGCAACATCTAAAGAAAAGAAAAGTTAAGAAAATGCACAATAACTGAAAAATCAAAAGTAATTTTTTGATTAATAAACAAACGAAAATGAACAGTGATGCTTCTCTGCAATGTTCAAAAACAAATGAGACTATCATTAACAAAAATTATACTATCTGTATAGTGATTTTTAATGCCTGTATCTGCTATGAGGAGGCAGGTACACTGAAGAAATAGTCTTTGTTACTTTCCCTCAACAAATATTCACACTAAAGGATATAAAAGTAAAAGGCAAGAGGTTTACAACTTTGTCCACAAGGGGCGCCAAAATCAATGCAAACAGAAAATTCCTCACATGAGCTTTTCTTAAACATAAGGTGAATAATTAGTATGAATCTAAATATAAACATATCAGCTTCAATCAATGACATTGTGGGGCTTTGTTTGGTGACCTTTAAAGAGCTTCCTCCTGTTTGTGTGGAGTAAAACAAGGCATGGTAGCTTATATAACCTGATGCGAAACACTTATATAATAACAATAACTTCTGCAACATACGATAAGAATTAATTAACTCTACTTTAGTAATTAATGTCTTCCTATTATTTTTACTAAACTTCAAATGAAAACATTTATTGACAGGATTTTCTTATTTCTATTTTCACTGGGAGTGATTAACACTGTTAAAGTCTTATTAGTGCCTGAGAGGGTCGTAGGAGTTTAATTTAGAAAGCCGGCTCAAACTTTTCCAGCATGTTTTCAAATCAGAAATGAGAGCATGAATATTTTATTTGTTTTGTTCAATATTATTTCTTTGCTGTGTTGTTGTTGTTGCGAGCAGCAGCAGAAAATAACACAATCAATCAGACACAAACAAAACCTAATAATTTCTATAACTATAAAACGTGGTTTAGTCAGTTTTCTTCTTTAAATTAATGCTGGCTCTCATGGACTAAAATTCTCACCTCCTTAATAAGACAAAGATTCATGTCACATCTCTTAACTTTCCAAGGACAGAGTTGCAGTTAATTTCATTTACATTTTCTTATAGATAACTTGAGCTGTTTTACTTATTCTACTGGTTAGGACTCAAAAGCTCTTTTAGTTTAAACTTCAAGGTATAAATATCCAAGGACAAAAACAGCCTCTATGTTGTGAAACAATTCTGTCTCGCCTGCACCGAGGTCTGACGTCAATCTGATCAAGCACCTTTAAGACGAACTGAAGCGCTGCTGACCGTGAGCCAGAGCTTATCGCCCAACATCAGCAGACTTCCTAATGCAGGTGAAAAGGAGCCAGTCCCTGCAGCTGGTTTAGAAGGATAGGAGCTGTGTTATATAAGTCTGTTCTTGCAGAAAATAAAAGCCTGTTGTTTTGGAGTGAGATGTTAAATAACCACAAGTGGGTGTGATGTTTGGGTGACCACGTCGGGTAAATAAATCAAAAAAGAGTGGAATGTGATAAAGAGACCGGTTCAGTGAGTTAGCGGCTCCTTCGAGTGTGCGGATCAATCAATAGTACATAGATGTACTTCTCCTCCCTGCAGATCTATTATATCGACAGCTCTGTGTTCTCTCCGAGCTTCACCAGCACTAAAACTTCCCCACCATATTGCCTTCCAGCAGTGCAGCCAGTGATTGTGAAGTAAATCCCCAACACGATAACTGTTAATGTAAGGACCAGAGCAATTAATCTAAGCCAGGAGCAAGTGGTTAATTTAATTCATTTTTAGTGTCTTTTTAATTACTGGCATAATTGCAGTGATGGAATGAGGGATCCCGGCACTCTGGGTCTGAACCGGGAGTGCTCTGCGCGCATTAATCAGGTTAGCCCGTGCTGGAGTCGATCTTAATGTCACTTTTATTCAGTTAGAGCATCTCACAACTGAGAGCAATTTTGTTGTCTTACCATGGACATATTGATTTAATCGCCATCTAATGTTTTCTTTTTTTTGTCCCCCTGATCTATGACCTGTCAGATGGTTGGTGAGGATAGTTATGGGCTTATGTTGCTAAAAGCATCCTCGTGTTCCTGGTGCCTCTGTAGATTTCCTAGATACGGATGGTTGCGTTTTAAATCCTCACTACAAATCCTCCTTGTGTCATGTGACAGATATAGTCTCTCAGGACGTTACGGCCACCTTGAAGATCCTCTACACCCTGTTCAAGAAGCACAAAGGGAAGTGAAGAAGCTGGACGAGCGAAGATAAAATCAGCAGCAACAACAACAAACAGAGAAGATGTGTGGAGTGTTTGCTCGGTTTGTTTTTCCTCTGCCTTCTACCTTTTTCAAAACTATTCAGGTTTATGCTCAGGAAAGCATTTATAGGTGCATGAGACCAAAACAGCTTTGAGAAATTATGTATAATCAGTAAGCGTCTGAGGGCACAGACAAAAAAAATCTATTTATTACTGGAATTAGTCGATCTAGTCATTGATATTGAAGAAATATGATATGGATGATTTGCAATCCATCTTTGCACGAAAGAAATAAACAAAAAACAACCCTCCCTAAATGGAGATGTGTGATTTGAAATAGATAACATTTTCAGATGTCTATGGAGGTGGGAGGTAAAAAAGTATGAGTGTGATTCATATTCAAAGCACTCTCTCTCTAATGTATTGACTGACTCGTCATGATCGGTCAGAGAGCGATCCAGTCTGTGTGCTGAAAAACAAAATCTGGTGTCTGTCCACAGCTGTGGCTGTTTGAAAGGGCAACAAAAATGGCCCAGAGGAAGCCACACAACATGGTTTTACCCAATTAGTAAAAGGTAGCACCTTTGCTCTGCCCTCCGACCTCTGCCTCTGTTGGCTTTTCCTCCTTTTTTTATACTCCATGTGTGCAACAGAAACTGAGCTACGCTGTCGGAGCAATAAAAACTTCTCCCCCTTACAGAGGCTAGCTCACCCTCGAGCATCAGGTATTCTGAACTCTGCTGTATTTTTAATCTTACCGAGCCTCTGAAAAAGTAATATAGGACGTTTTTGTTTACAAACTTAAACACATTAATTTCTGTATCAAAAATAATCAGCTCATTCATGCCATTAACATCAACAATCAAACCCAGTATTACCACAGTTTTCATCAGGCCACATCATTAAACAATCAATGTCTCGTAATGTGCATTCAAGTAGGTCTTTAAATTAGTAGTTCTTACTATTTTCCCACAGATGGCACTATTTACTCATTTTGTCCCCAAGGCCAAGACAAACAGTTCTCCTAACAACCACTAGGGACACTATTTAGGCTGCTGATGACTAATGCGTCTTTGTAACTCCAATAAATGTTAAAGGTCTGAAAGTAGATGTATTTTTGAAATTTGTCAACAGGACTGAGTTGGTGAAAATGTTTGACACACTGAAAGCGAAAATAAAAATGGTATTGACGATATCGTGGCACTTGTCTGTCGTGATGAGATTAGATAAGATTTGATAGAACTTTATTGATCCTATGTTAAGGTTCCCTCAGGGAAATTAAAAAGCTCAGCTGTTGAAAATATCTGATGGAATTAGAAAATATTTTGAATATATAATATTTTTTATGGCATGAAGCCTTTTAAATCAAGTATTACAAAAAAGTGTGAACACAGGAGCTTTTGTCCATCGATTCACTTCCTGCATGTGTTAATGCTGCAACACATTTGATCAAGATTACCCAACAACATCGGAGATAGACCCCAGTATCCAGTGACTTCCCAGTAATGACTTTATCTTCGAGGTGACATGGATTAGACTGGTTGCAAAGCTAATTATCTTCCTCCAATGGAGTTCAATCAATGACTGATGCCATGGAGGAGTCTCCTCTTGGCTTCTCCTGTTGACATGTCTAAGTATCCCTCTGGGCAAGAAACAAACACAGGCTGTGTTAGCTTACTGCCATCAATATGTGTGTTAATAGATGAATGAGATGCAAATTGGTTTACAAATGTGGTTAATTGCAGCCAAGCGAGGGCAGGTTCTTATTGCAGATCTTTTAGCCCTGGATCGTAAAGAGGCTCTTTCTTAAAGCCGTATTGTGAACCTCAGGATGCACTTTTCTGTGTCAGATATTCCTCAAACGTCTTTTTCAATAGTCAGAGATGGATATGGTACAAAGTGTTTGGAGATCTAAAGAGTTTAGTTTTTGTCCCATCATCCACTCTCAGAGAGAAGATAGGTGACGTGAAGATGCTTAAACTTTGAAAACTTTGTACATTTTCAGACAGTTTCTCCTGGAAGACTTTCTTGGTGTTTTACTCGATTGTTCACATGAAAAGTGACTGAAATAGTCGTGTGAAGATTGGGAAAAAGTGCTTGAGAGAAAAGTTCAAACCTTTCCCACCTACGCACAGCTGGCCAATAGTGGCGTGAAGTGGTTGTGAAAGTTGGATTTTCAGTTTTTAGAAAGTTGCAGACGAGGTCAATCGAATGTGACACCGGAGCAGGTTTCTGAATTTTTTACCATTCTTTAAGTAGCTCTGATAGAAAAACACTGCCCCTCTGAACCACATAGGTACACAGCTATTTTGTTTTTGGCAAAACTCAATTTTAGTATACAACATGTGTGTTCACACCGCCCAGTTCTCTTCCCCTCGGTGATTCACTTTTGAAAAGCATTGTCCTCCACTGCAATTTCTTGAAAAACAATGTCAGTTTATTTCTTTTCAGCTCTTTCTATGTGCTCCCGCTGACAGTTTGTGACCTCCTCCGGTTTTTAGGCTGTCATTTTCCCAAAGAAATGTTATTTTGCCATTGTTCTCAGGACAATGTCACACACATGCAGGGGTTGTGCAGCAGGGAGCAACGGAGGGATGAAAACAAAAGATGTGATTTCATCGGTGCTGGGTTTAAAAATTGAATTGAAATGAAAATATACACTTCATTATCTTTGATTAAATTATGCAAACTGATAGTGCGTGTTATGTGGAAAATTATCAGTCTGGTTTTGAGTGTTAAATAATGTTATTTCTCTTTGCTGACTCACTCGCTGGTTCGGTTCATGCCGAATAAGTTCTTTGTTTTTGTCTTCAGGTTATTTGTATACAGTTTTAGGAATGCTAAACAGTAACAGCGACCACTTTCACTTTCACCCTCTTTTTATTCCCTGCAGTTTTCTTGCAAATGTGTTTGTTGACATTCAGGAAGCCAATTTATTCGGTTTTTACTAGGGTGGTGGAAAATACTATTTTTTCTTCTCCTGACATTTCCAAGAATTTGCATGAAAATTTGCACTGCAGTCGGGTGGAATTACAACCACCGCACAGAGAGAGGGACAGACCCAAGCAGAGATTTAAAGAGACATTGGCTCCTGTCCTTCATGTCGTTGGTCATTTCAGTGGACAGTCAAAGTCATATGAAATCAAAGTGGTCTTCCCTTTTTCAATTTACAGCTCTTGAACTCCACATCTGCAGTGACTCTAAACTGGACTTTGGTTCGTTGAAGGTGAAATTGTATGTTACTTTACATTTCAAAATTCGCTGCGGTCCTTTGTTAAACTGTGAAAAAGCAACCAGGTAGTTAAGTGCTCTCTTTATGCATTTTAAAGGAACATTATGCAAGACTTGGCTCTCTTGCATCCTGGTGCTCCAGGTTTTGAAGGCAATATGGTGTCTGGATTTAGTCTTTTTTTCGCACTTTGCTCAGTCCCTCCTCCTCTGCTGTGGTGTTTATAGTGAAAATACTGAGCCAAGATCAGAGACAGGAGCACCTTTGACGTACCTTTTGCTTGGGAAGGTGCCGGCATAACCAAAATTAGAACAAGCCTTAAGGTTTGAGTCTGAGTGAAAGAAGCAAAATTCTCCCTGTTGCATCATCACAGTGATTTTAAAGCTCCTTAAAGGGAGTTGTTTTGTGCTGATTCTGGCGCCCTCTCTGGAAAAAGCAGAATCAGAATCAGAATCGCCTCTATTGTCATTGTACACAGTACAACGAAATTTGAGCGCCACTCCCTTTGGTGCATAGCAAAAGTAATAAATAAATACTAAAATGAAAGCCATTTAAAACACAAAGATAAGGTAAGAATAAGAAAAACAAAAGTAAAAAGGCAGTAATATATATACATTGTAAAATATAAACAAACAGGAATGAATGATATGAAACCCGATAATTGCACAAGTGAAGCCCAGTGTTTTGCATGGTTAATGATACATTTATTGCACTGTGATCAATGTGATCAGTACCTCTCATTTTTGCAAATTTTGTCCTGTACGGATTGAACAATATTTTTGTTTTGATGTTTCTCATAAAAACTTCATCATGGCTAACCGTAAACAGTGGCTCTTATGGCCTTAAGGCTGCCCCCAGGAAAAAAAAATAAAATGTGTGTGTGCGTGTGCCCGCAGGCAGGCCACTGAACTTGGAAGCAGGCCAGGCCAGCAGTAAAAGGGTTTAATTAATTTATGTTCGTTGCCGTGGCAACATGGAGCTGGTGCAACCGGAAGTAGAGCTGAGAGGTGATCGGCTGCAGATGCACTGATCGAGCATCCTAATCCGAATCGTAATCCAAATAGTTAAAGACATGACTAATATGGAGTTTTTATAACCATTTTGTTTTTGCTTTATATTAAATTTGCAGTTATGTAGCCAATGTTGAATTCTTCACATTAGCATTATATTCACTAAATCTGGCTTCAAATGTCCAAAACTCTTCACCGGTGCCGGCATTTCCGCATCAATGTGTATTGGCCTGGCCTGGATGGAGTCAAACTCCTGGCCTGAATTATAGTCCCAGTCCGCCCCTGCTTAAGGTAATAAGCAATTACAATCACTCAGTTCGTTTACTTGCACAGTGAGGTCGAGCTACAGTCAAAGCTTGATTGGGAGATTTAACTGGACTGCTGGGTCCTTGTCCCAGTTTACAAACACTGAGCAAAAATCAAATAATTGATTTCAAGCATGTCCACCTCCACTTCAGTCGGTTGTGACATGCTCCCTTTTAACTTATTTCTACTGGTTGTCTCCTGGCTGACTTATTTAACAATCAGAAAAATGCGTCAGAAAGAGGTGAACAGGTTGTACGTTTGTGCCACTTCAGTAATTCGTTTACATGCTTTTAAAAAAAAAAAACAGTTCCAGTCAAACTACAGTAATAAACCTTTTTTTTTTTTAACTGCCACTGTCTGACATTTATCCTGCCAGTAGTTTCAAATAAAAAAAATACCCTAAATGAACTATTTTATTTTTGTCAGTTTGTCCAGTTAGTTGCTGTAGGACATATAGAGAAACTGGTTTAAATTGCAGCTGATGAAAACTCCTCACCAGAGCTTTAAATCTGTTAAATAAAAGCTTTATGTTGATTCATTTCTTCTTAAATACATATTCATGATCATTCTAGACTCACATTTTACATCTGTTATCCACTCCGTAAGTTGTTTCATATGAACACTTGGCACTCTTTCTGCATACAGTGCATATATACAGACACTGTTGAGCTTGACCTTCTTGCTTCTACATATTAATCCGCCCCCATTTCCCCAGTCTCCTCACATTATTATGCATGTGAATATTTGATGAGAGTTATGCTCAAATTCATCAAGTGTTTTTTTTCGAGGTCAGGGACCGTCTGCATCTGACCTGCCGGCTGCAATGATAGCAAAAACAAGATAAAGCCATGATACATGTGATCTAAGTGTTTATTTGAGGGGTAATGGCAGCAGTAGATGTGCAGAGAAGATTGGATTATTTAGGACAAGCTTGATTATTCATGGACTATTTGTTTATCAGGATTTAAAAGTGAGAAAAAAACCCGTAAATGTCAGCTCACCTGCTTTTAAGATATTCTAAATGTGTTCAAACGGCTTTTCTTTCACATGACCTTATCTTGTATTTCCTGTTCAGTAATGCGATCAATACTTTTCACACGCTGAACGCACAAATCAATCAAGATAAGCATGTAGTGTTCAGAATAACAAAGAACTCCAGGTAAATATCACAGGATTGTGTATTTGTGGAAAATTAAAGCGTCTTTGATGTGTATTTGTGATGATGTCTGGTGTAAACAACAACGTGAGGAAGAGTCAGGGCAGATTAATGTCTTTGAGCCACTGTATGCATTTCAGCGCAAAGGTCACAGCTTAGTCCGTCACTAGTTTTTCCGATGTATCCGAACAAACAAGGATTAATTTAAAAAATAACATTTGGGAGATTAAATCTGATCTGAAAACAGCAACACCATCTCCTCACGGTAGAAAACCTCATTAAGACAGTAAAAGACAGTCCCTCTTTAAATAAAAATAACTCATACTGTCTATTAGGCAAGGGCAGAGGATATTTTAGAGATGTTTTTATACAGGCTGGTGTGACTATATTTTATTGCCTGGGGTGAGCACACTTCAGGATTTCTCATTATACCGGCTGGCTGTTTCTGAGAAAACAAATGCCGTCTCTCTCTTTTTTTCTGCAGAGAAACTCAC